CTTGTCTTTGGGTCTCTGCTCTGCATGCACGGGGGACACGCATACAGTGGACAGGGCGCATGCATGGGGGAACGACAGGATGGATGCACGGGGGGATGCACACGCAATTTGGGCACTTGGTGCACTGGTATAGAGTCTCCTGCTTGAAACAGTGGGTTTTACTAGAAGATCTCCAAGATCCCATCCAACTCTGTTATTCTATTCTATCTCCAAGATCCCTTCCAATTGTGTTGTTCTGTTATTGGGAGATTGGCACATCTGGGGAAGGAAGGGGAGAATCCTCCTACCTGCATTGGAAGCTCAACCGCTGCTAATCCTCCGCTACAAAGAACTGAGGTTCCAGGAGATGAAGACGAGGCCATGAGAGTGTCTAGGAGTGAAAAAAGCAAAACAGCAAAGGAATAATTTGCTATCAAACAGCCTAATGATATTCCTGAGCATATAATGCAAAAAGCTGATTTTAGCCTATTTCTAGGCTAACTTGGGAAGCACTTAATGTGAGTGCCTGGCAGCCACAAGAACAATACATAGAAGCTCAGCCTGGGTGAGAGGAAAACTGAAAGGTGTGGAAGGACCAGGGGATTGGATTCAGAGGAAGCTCTCTCAGCCCTGGATGTATGCATTAAAGGACCAATTCTTATTCTATCTTTCTATAACGTTCACCTTCCCTTATCAGATAATCAAGGAAGACTACAAAAGCTTTTTTTTTTTCACAGCTGGGACTTGCCTTTTGGAATAGCCTACGGCAGAAGTGAGGAAGCATGATCCTTTTATGACAGGTGGACTTCAACTCCCAGAATTCCTGACACAGCTGGCTGAGGAATTGTGGGAGTTGAAGTCCACCAGTCCTAAAAGGGCCCTAGTTCCCCACCCCTGGCTTACAGCGTTTCTCAATCTTGGGAGCTGTAAAATATGTGGACTTCAACACACATGGGACATTCTGGGAGCTGAAATCCACATGCCACAAAGTTGCCAAGGCTGAGAAACAGTGGCCCACAGGAAAAGGCCGATACCTTTTTAAATGCACCCAAGACTTTAAAAACACACTTAAATTGGAGAATGGAAACGAATTGAAGGGATGAAAGCAACGAGGGCATCAGAAGGAGCCTTTACCCGATGCTCCCTCCGGAGGCGGCTCCTCTTGAGCAACTCCCCGAAACAAGGGCTCCTGGGAGGGATCGCCCCCTTTTCTCGCAGCCATTGAACTCCCAGCCTCCGGGATCTGAAACAGCAGCAGAGAAAAGGAAGTGACGGCAAACGACCAGGAAGGGCCAGGAAAAATAATAATAATAATAATAATAATCTCCCCAAGGAGAAAATGGAGATTGCAGGAGGGATCATAACAGCCCTCCAAGAAGCATGGAGGGTTTCCTGCTCGAGCATTTCCCAGGAAGGGAGGGAAGGAGGGAGCTTTTTACCTGGCGCTTAGTCGGAAAAGGACAGCTCCCTTCTTCGCCCGGACTCCGCTTCCCAATAGATGCGCGCAGGAAAGGATCCGTAATCGCCGCCGGCCACCTTTCCTTCCTTCCCGGTCATGCACCTGGATCCCACTCCCCGGAACGACCCCAGCCAGGAGTTTGCAGATCCCAAGCTGCCAGCTCTTATAAGCTCCTCCCCTCCCCGTCCAGCTCCTCCCATTCTGTAAAGAGCGGAGAGCGCCGCCCACTCGGGGGTCACCCTGCCTGCTCACTACCTTCTTCCACGGGAGAATCGGTCCCGCGTGGGATGGTCAGCTGTGCAGCGAGTCCAGAGCTGCTTCCCCCCAGGCAGCAAAGAAACAGGGGAGAGAGGGAGGGGACGACGCCCAGGGATGGGAGGAGGAAAGGGAAGAGGATGCGGAGTATCTCTACAGCAGTGTTTCCCAAACTTGACCCTTTGAAGATGTATGGACTTCAACTCCCAGAATTCCTCAACCAGACATACTGGCTGGGGAATTCTGGGAGTTGAAGTCCACCCATCTTCAAGCTTCCAAGGTTGAGAAACACTGCTCTAGAGCAGTGTTTCCCAAACTTGACCCTTTGAAGATGTATGGACTTCAACTCCCAGAATTCCTCAACCAGACATACTGGCTGGGGAATTCTGGGAGTTGAAGTCCATGCATCTTAAAATAGCCAAGTTTGGGAAACACTGCTCTACAGGTGTGAAAGACCTTGGAGGTCTTTTATCCAAACCCCGAAGGAGTGAGAGAAACTGGAGAGAGGGTGTGGGGACGAAGCCCAGGGACGGATGTAGGGAAGGGAAGGGGATGCAGAGCAGCAAAGTTAGAAGGGAATCGCCCTTTCCACAGAAAACTGGATTTGCCAGGAAAAGGAGCCTCTCTTATCCACTTAGCATAGTCCTCAACTTACAACCTATTCCCTTCATGATTGTGCCGTAATAACAAATAATCAGTGGCTGCCTTACGAATTATTGTTGTTAGTTGCAAAGTCGTGTCCGACCTATCGCAACCCCATGGACGACGTTCCTCCAGGAATTCCTGTCCTCTACCATCCCCGAGTCCATTTAAGCTCACTCACTTACTGCTTCAGTGACTCCATCCCTTCTTCTTTTGCCCTCCATCGTTCCCAGCATTAGGCTCTTCTCCAGGGAGTCCTTCCTTCTCATTAGGTGGCCAAAGTATTTGAGTTTCATCTTCAGGATCTGGCCTTCTAAAGAGCAGTCAGAGTTGATCTCCTCTAGGTCTGACTGGTTTGATCCAGTGGTGAAATGTAAAATTTGTTACTACCGGTTCTGTGGGCGTGGCTTGGTGGGAGATAATGTGACTGGGTTGTAAAAAAAAATGCTTTTAAAAGGCTCTGACGATCCCAGCTGAGCAGCATGATCTTCAAGGCTTTTTTTTTTTTACTTTTAAAAGCGTTTTTTCGGCAAAATGCTTTTAAAAGTTAAAAATAAAAAAGCCTCTGATGATCGCACGGCTCAGCTGGGCATGGGGGAGAGGCAGGGATTTCTGCTACCGGTTCTCCGAACCACCTGCCGCCATCGCTACCGGATCTGGCAATCCAGTCTGAACCGGGAGCATTTCACCCCTGGTTTGATCGCCTTGCAATCCAAGGGACTCGTAGGAATCTTCTCCAGCACCATAGTTCAAACACCTCAATTCTTTGGCGCTCAGCCTTTCTTATGGTCTACCTTTCACAGCCATCCATTGCAACTGGGAAAACTATAGCCTTGACTATACACACTTTTGTTGACAGGGTGATGTCTCTGCTTTTTAGTAAGTTATCTAGATTTGCCATAGCTTTCCTCCCCAGGAGCAAGCATCTTTTAATTTCTTGGCTACAGTCCCCGTCTGCGGTGATTTTAGAGCCCAGGAAAATAAAATCTGTCACTACCTCCGTTTCTTCCCCATCTATTGCCAGGAATTGAGAGGGCCAGATGCCATGATCTTAGTTTTCTAAATGTTGAGTTTCAAGCCAACTTTTGCACTCTCCTTCACCTGCATTAGTGGCCAGAGCTACAACAGCACTGAAAAAAGTGGCTTATGTCCGTATTTTGCACTAAAGACCAGTGCAGCATCCCCGTGGTCACATGATCAAAATTCAGCTGCTTGACAACGGATTCATATTTATGACGGTTGCCATATCCTGTTGTCATGGGAACCTTCGGATAAGCAAAGTCAATGGGGAAGCCAGATTCGCTTAATAACTGGGTTACTAGTGTTACAACTGCTTAAGAAACCACGGCAAGAAATATCGTAAAATGGGACCAACCTCACTTCACAAATGTCTCACTTAGCAACAGAAATGTTGGAATGAATTGTGGTCAAAAGTCGAGGATTATCTGTATTTCAAGTGTCGATGGGACATGTTTTTGTTTTGTTTTTTTTTAATTTGATTTATATGCTGCCCTTCTCCGGAGACTCAGGGCGGCTTACAATGCGTTAAGCAATAGCCTTCATTCTTTTGTATATTTTATACAAAGTCAGCTTATTGCCCCCACAAACTGGGTCCTCAATTTACCTACCTTAGAAAGGATGGAAGGCTGAGTCCACCTTGAGCTTTGGAGAGATTCAAACCAGCAGAAATTGCAGGCAGCTGTGTTAATAACAGGGTGCACTAAACCACTGTACTATCAAGGCCCTTGATGTTGGAGAGCAATACAACCTAGAGATGGCTCCCTTGCCCCAAAAGAGAGAATAGAGAAAAGGGGGGAAATCCCCACAAACTGCTTTTTTCTAATATTATCCCAAATAAATGCCCAGCCAAAGGACCCCTTGATGATACAGAAGAGAATCCCATTAACTTTATCACTCCGAAGCTGAAGAAAACCTCTGAGCTAAGAAGTGTTTAATATTTAACTATTTAAAAGGTCTCAGTCAGGAAATGTTTAAAAGTATATGAATTTCAGAAGAAAAACTACTAAACAGTACAGATAGCCCTCGACTTACAGCCATTCATTTAGTGACCGGTCGAAGTTACGACAGCATTGAAAAAAGTGATTTATGTCCATTTTTTGCACTTACGACAGTTGCAGCATTCCCATAGTCATGTCATCAAAATTCAGACAACGGGGAACTGAATCGCATTTATGACCATTGTAGTGTCCCAGAGTCACGTGATCACCTTTTGCGACTTTCCAACAAGAAACACCAATGGGAAAACCTATTCACTTAACAACCGTGTTGCTAATTTAACAAGTGTGGTAATTCACTTAACTGAGACATGAAAGGTCACAAAATAGAGCAAAATTGAATAACAAATGTCTCACTTGACAACAAAAATTTGGGGCTCACTTGTGGTCGTAAGTCAATTTACCTCTACAAAATATTTCTCCTATAATAAAACAGCTCCAAGCCTAAGAGAGCCTGCTTGAGGTTTGCAGAGAGAGAGTTCCTGGCGTATTCCCCATTTCCTCTTCACGAATTGCTCTTGCCATCTGGTTGAAAGAAGGAAAGAGCCCCTTCTGGACTCAAGGGCACTTTTGGTTTTCCTTACCTTTCCTGCTCCAGGCGTGTTACCAGATGCGCCCAGCCTCAAATTGAATACATTGAAGACAAGATTGTAAGCAAAACTTTTATTCTGCAGAAAAAGTAACACAAGGAAATCTCCCTCAAATCCTTTATACCCCACCAACGTGCACTAGAGGGCTTTACACAGCATTTGCTACACAGTTTACAACTCCGAGTCAGAAGGAATTTTCTCATCTCCCTTTGCAGGAATTCCTGCCTGTTTTCCACTAATATCTTAGCCTTCCTGCATACATGTAATCCAGAGCCAGCCAAGGTATTTTAAACTATCCTAACATTTACACAGGGAAACCTCAACATGTTTGTAAATGTTTATAACAATTTTATTAATTTATTATATAACATACAAAAAAAAATACAAAAGCAAAAAGAAGGGAAAATACAGAGAGAAAAGGAGAAAGAAAAAATGTGGAAAAGAAGGGGAAAAAAGAAAAAGGCATTGATTTCCAAATCCCTTTTGTTCAGTAATAACGTCAAAGCAAAACTTTTTAGTATTTCCCAGAAAATAAGACCCGGCCTTATTTTCTTTCGGCTCCAAAATAAGCACCGGGACTTACCTGCTTACCTTAGGACTACTGCAGCCACATCTCCTACGTCCCGACACCTGTTGCGTCGCTACTCATCTTTTGTGTTGTATTGTGCCATCGCACACGTGAGCGTGAGCACTAGCGTGATGTGCCTTGTAGCGTTCTTCCACCACTAGCAGTACTGGCCCAATGAGTCTTGCGGCATTCTGCCACTAGTGGTGGCATGCGCATGATGAGCCATGTGGTGTTCGGCCACAAGCGGCGGCACCAGCATCATGAGTCACGTGGTGTTCTGTTATGAGCAGCGGCACTAGCACAACGACCTATGCATCTGGCCGTGAGCTGCTGCAAGCGGCTGAAGAAGTAGTTGGGCAGCGGCACAACAGGTGTTGAGGCATTGGAAGCCTGACTGCAGCGGTCCTCAACTAAGCGGGTGCAGGGCGTGTGCGGCAGCTCCACCTCCCCCACCCTAGCTTGGTTTTTATGCCTGCGCCTCGCCCCATCTCGTACAACCCAACGGTGGACGGGGCTTAACTAGGGCTGCCGTACTCTACTCTACCTTACACTACCATACCCTATTATTATTTCTATTCTGTTTCAATTCTATTCGACTCTAGCACAAAGATGTCCAAAAGTTAATTCCTAGTTATACAAGGCAACTCTTTTTAATGGATCAAGAAGTTTCTGCTGCTTTGGAAGCCCTTCCAATACTTCAAGCATTTTTCCTGGAACACTTCTATGGGCATTAAGCAAATTTTGAGAATCAACAACAACCAATTCATGTCTGCTGTGCATCTTCTTATGTCGATTAAAGTCACTAGAGCTTATTAATTTCTTTCCACACTCCACACACTCATACGGCTTTTCCCCTGTGTGGATTCTCTTATGGAGTGTAAGATAACTCCCGTCTTTGAAAGCCTTTCCACACTCAATGCATTTAAATGGTTTTTCCCCTGTGTGGATTCTCTTATGGAGTGTAAGATTCCTACCATCTTTGAAACTCTTTCCACACTCAATGCATTTAAAGGGTTTCTCTCCTGTGTGGATCCTCATGTGAGAGGTAAGACTGCCATGCTCATTATAACATTTTCCACACTCCAGGCATTTATAAGGTTTCTCTCCTGAGTGAAGCCTTCTATGGCTCCTGAGTGAATGATTTCGACTAAAGCTTTTTCCGCACTCATGACATGTGTATGGTTTCTCCCCAGTGTGGGTCCTCTTATGGATACCAAGGTAACTACTTCTCCTGAAACTCATGCCACACTCCGTGCACTTATAGGGTTTCTCCCCTGTGTGAATCCTTTTATGGATCGTCAGTTCTCCAGAATCACTTAAGTATTTTCCACACTCCTGGCACTGATATGGTTTCTCTCCCGTGTGGGTCCTGCTATGTACAACATAGCCATTTTTTGTATTGAAGCTCTTTCCACACGTGCGGCATTCATATGGTTTCTCCCCAGTGTGGAGCCTTTTGTGGGAAGTGAGGGATCTTGAACTGGTGAAGCGTTTGTCACATTCGGTGCACTTATAAGGTTTTTCACCAGTGTGGGTCCTTTTATGGATATTAAGGTTACTTGTTTGATTGAAGCGCTTTCCACACTCTGTGCACTGATGCGGTTTCTGTCCACTATGGATACTTATATGGAATGTCAAGTGGCTGGATTTACGGAAGCTCTTCCCACACTCCAGGCATTTGTACGGTTTCTCGCCTGTGTGGGTCCGTTTGTGGGCATGAAAGCCATCAGAACTGGCAAAGCACTTTCCACACTGCAGGCATTGAAAGGGCTTTTCCCCTGTGTGGATTCTGTGATGGGCTATAAGGCTTGTTGAAGTACGGAAGCTCTTTCCACACTCCGTGCATTGAAATGGTTTTTCCCCCGTGTGGATCCTCTCGTGTGATTTAAGATTACATTTTTGACTGAAGTTTTTTCCACAGTGCAGGCATTTATAAGGTTTGTCCCCTTTATGCATCCTATTATGTAAAATTAGAGTACCACTTCTGCTGAAGCTTTTTCCACACTCCAAGCATTCATAGGGTTTCTCCCCTGTGTGAATCCTCTTATGGGAAGTAAGGGCATCGGAGGTCCTGAAGAGTTTTCCACACTCTGTGCATTTATATGGCTTCTCTCCAGTGTGGATCCTCTTATGAGAATTGAAATTTCCTTTTTGGTTGAAGTTCTTTCCACACACCATGCAATGATATGGCTTTTCCCCTGTATGGGTCCTATTATGGTAAGTGAGGTAACTTGCATAGCAGAAGCTCTTCCCACATTCCAGGCATTTACATGATTTATTTCCAGTGGGGCTTTTTTGGGGGGAATTCGGTTTCTTGCTCCGAGTAAACCTCGTTCTACCCTCCCTGCATTGATGCAACTTCTCTTCTCTGTGGATGTTTTGATGTGAAGTAAGGGAGGTGCTGTTTCCGAAGGTCTTTCCACAGGTGATGCATTGATGCTTCTTCTTCTCTTCGTGGACCCACTTATGTGAATTAAGATGACTTTTCTGCCTGAAGGTCCTTCCACAATCCAGACATTTGTGTGGATCCTCTGCTTTGTGAATCCTTTTATGCAATGCAAGAGAGCGGTTTGTATCGAAGCTTTCTGCACACTCCGTACATTTGTACATTTTCCCTCCTTCTTGTATTCTTTCAGGAGGAGGAAGGGTCCCTCTGGAGTGTTGCCTGCTTTCATCTTGTTTCTCTCCAGCAGGGCTTTGGCAACAGTCACATAATCCAGATTCATGTCGGAGTGTTTTCCCACACCTTGAACACACTTCTTTTTCATGGCAATCATCTCTGTCCAATAAGACATTGGCATCTGGACAATGTAAAGTAGAGCAATTCTCCAGCTCCCTCATTAAGTGCTTTTCCTTAGAACTTTGCTTTCCATGCATCTTTTCTGAAACTTCCTTTTTGTCTTTTGGCAAAGGTGCTGCTGCCTCTTCGCCAGAATCCTCCATCTCCCATCCATCACCTCCTTGCAACAGAAAAAAAGAAAAGTTAACACAAACACCATTGCTGTATTTAAACAGTATCAAACTTCCTCCAAACTCTCATTTATTCAAAACATTGTGCTATGCTTGGTATTAAGTTGATATAAGATTTGGCCTTGGGCATCTTTTGTCCTCAACAGTACAGAATGAAAACCTGAACATTTTGGATAAGATCTGTTAAACTTTGGGGTGGGGGTAGGGCAACCATCAGCTCTACTGCTTCAGATTTAGTTCCAAGGAAGCAGAAGGGACACTTAAAAGAGGCCTATGTTTATCAGTTCATTCATTAAATTTATTGGCCTTCCAGCTTGCCTCATCTCCTTGAAGAAGTTTTCCCTTGGAAAAAAAACTTGTTCTCACTCTGGTGTGTTCATTCATCTTTATCCCAAAGGTGCTCTTTCTAAAGACAACTGGACTTTCTTTTTTCTTGTAGATATTTCACTTCTCATCCAAGAAGTAGATGAGAGTATGAATGGATTGATATTCCTTACAGTCATCTAGTGGTTAGCACTCTTTCCAACCAGATGACCGCAAGTACTATAAATCCTTGTGATAAACCCCTGGACTCTATGGGGCTCTTACCTTGTTTCCCCGAAAATAAGACCCTGTCTTATATTTTTTTGAACCCCAAAATAAGTCCGTGGCCTTATTTTGGGGCGCATGGAGCAAGACGAGGCTCCTCTTGCTGTCTTACCTAATTTCTAGCTCTGTCTCCCTAACTCCAACCAGAGGAAATGGTGGGGACTGGCTGCACATGCATTTAAATATTTTCGAGGAGGGCTTATTTTCAGGGGGGGGGCTTATTTTAGCGCATGCCCTCAAAAGTCCGATTGGGCTGCTTATCAGGGGATGTCTTATTTTCAGGGAAACACGGTAAGTGCCATCATCATAGACCAAAATATCAACAAAATGACAGCCACTTCTCAAAAATTATCTACAAACTGGAACAGGCAGGATCAGAAACTGGCTGGGATGGAAAACTTTACCGTACACAAGAAAATCAGGCTAATAGGAGCAACATGAGGTAAACCAACACCACAGCATCATCCTGAGGTAATGTTAGAGCCCACAGAGGGAAAAAAGCCTAGAAACAAGGACACTCCCCCTTTACACTCACATTAACCAATCACAGCATAGATTGCCTCATGCAGGAGACAGCTCTCTCCAATCAATCAGCTATAACTGTGTGTTATAACTGACTCATTGTACAATTCCACTGTCCCAGCTAGGCAGTCCTGGAGCTACAACCCTACTGGAGCCTGCCCATTAGGGTAGAAAGTCAAAAAGTTCCTCAACAGAACCACACTTAGTTTTATGAACTTGTAGAATCAAATGGGTTGTTAAATGAAAGAAGATCTGACTAATTTCCTCCATTCGTTAATTGATCACTGCCATTATTGAGACGCTTTTCCCCCCACCCACCACCCCACAGCTGTTTCCAGTGCAGCCTTTGCTCAGGAACTAAACTGCCACCCAACAGGCTCACAGAGCTCTCAAATTGCAGTTGCTTTTAAAAAAACAAAGCTTGCCACTAATTAACTCAAGAGTTTCCAGCCAGGCACGCAGAGGAAAACGGGGGAGCAATTTACAGAATTCTCGGCTTGCAACAGTAACAGAGATGAAAGGGGGCTTGAGGTCATCTAGTCCAGAGGTCAGCAACCTGCGGCTCTGGAGCCGCATGTGGCTCTTTCACTCCTCTGCTGCGGCTTCTTGTCATTCAAAATATGTGTCACAACCGGCAATGTGCGACACCCGCCGGCACACAATTTATTGAGCTTTTCAACCCCCGGTAGGCCAACCATGAATAAATCCAAGAAAAGAAAAGTTTTGTTTAATTCAACTACATATGCTAGTTTTGTGGCCGCTCAAGAAATAGTCAGGCACGGAAGGGTTTTGTGGCTCCTGGTGTTTTCTTTTCTGTGGGAAACGGCTCCAAATGTCTCTTTTGAGTGTTTAAGGTTGCAGACCCCTGATCTAGTCTAACCCACTGCTTTCACAAGAGTGTATCTCTCATAAATGCCTATCCAGTCTCTTCTTAAAAGCTTCCAGTGATGGGGCATCCACAACTTTTAGAGGCAATTTAAATTTAAAACCTCTTTAAAAAAACAATACTGCCCTGATCAGCATAAACTTCTCCAGGCAAAATCCAAAATGGTGTGGGGTAGAGATGTCCTTCCAGTAAGGGATCAGCAGAATCTCTGGTGGGTATTTACTAGGGAGAGGCAGCAGCAGCCACATGCTACCCATCCTTTGACGGATTGATCCATTAATTCCACGACTTTCCCCTCCCACCCTCCCCATGAGCTGAAGATTAGTCCCTGATTCTTATTCCTCACCCACAAAACAACCCTGTAAGGTAGGGCAGTTTGACAGAGGGCTGGTACAAATTGTAACTTTCCAGGGGAGAACAATATCAGAGCACCAAGGTGGTGGGAATGGCCAACTCTCCAGAAGATGGGCTCAAGATCCAGACAGACCTTGGGCCCTGTAAGAAGTAATCACGCATCCCTCCCCCTCCTGGAAGAATGAAATATTTTGGGGATTAAAAGAGGCAGATTAGTATATTTCACCAAAGGAGAAACATGCTCCAGCCCCAATTTCCTGCATAGTAAAACAACTTCCAGCAGAAATCTTTAGAGATGGAGACTTTGGGCCCATTAAGAAATCCAGGCCAATCTATTCATAAACAAAACATCTTCAGCTACCGGGTGACAGGATTAAGCAGGACAGGACATTTTAGGACTAAATTGCCACCCTGACAATAATAGCATTAACCCACCAGCATTTAGCAAAAGACACAAGCCCCTCTTCATTGTACAGTCAATTCAAACTTCAAAGTCACAGAAATCTATAAAGATCCATCCACTCATTCGACCACTTGGTCAACTGCCCCAGAATCACAGGTTGGTTCTGCCTATCAATAAACAGAATCTTTTTTCCCATCAGCCTCCATTTTATATCCAGCGCCTTTCTCCCAGCTGGGAACTGAACCAAAGGAATTTTTCTTCCAACAGCCCTAATATAAATTTCCTAATAAATAAATAAATCTTTGTTCTTAACCTGCTCCGCTTGTTTATTTCTTCCCTTCATGCACAGCATGTGCAAGATTGGATCAGATTCTTAACAAATGGGAGCAAGTGGATTGTGAAGGCCACACTCTCCATACTGTCCATTTGTGAAGAAAAGCCAGGCTTCATAGAAAAGGATGAAAACCTCAGATAAATAGCTTGCAAATTTGAAAATCAGCAGTTTAGAGAAGAATACAGCACACACATCCCCCCCAAAAAATACCAATGCTGGAGGACTTTATTATTTATTTATTTTATTTATTGGAACTTGTCAAACAAAAACAACAAGAGAATAAAAATACAATGACAGGGATGATAGGCATGTTAGTGCACTTATGCACTGACCACTTAAGTATGAAATATGACTTCACTTGCATTATCTTTTTAAAAAAAAATATTGTGCAGTACAATATCTTAACAGAATCTCTCAGTAAGGAGGTCATGTTCCTCTTCTTTTCCAGCATGACCTCTTGGTACAGGACTGTTTGCTTAGAATCCAGCAGGGCCCACTCCTCCATGGAGAAAAACACAGCTACATTCTCAAATTATCCCAAATTCTGACACAGGGAGGGGAAAAAACCACAACCTGTGGGTCACGACCCCTTTGGGGGTCAAACGAACCTTTCACAGGGGTCGCCTAAGACCATCGGAAAACACATATTTTCAATGGTTTTAGGAATAATTTTATGGTCGGGGGTCACCACAACATGAACTGTATTAAATCCTGCCTGGACTACTGCAACGCTCTCTACATGGGGCTCCCCTTGAGGAGCACCCGGAGGCTCCAACTGGCACAGAGTGCGGCCGCGCGGGTGGTTATGGGAGCGACATGGCATTCCCATGTAACACCTCTCCTGCGCGAACTGCACTGGCTCCCGGTGGTCTTCCGTGTGCACTTCAAGGTCTTGGTTACCACCTTTAGAGCGCTCCATGGCTTAGGAACTGGTTATCTACGAGACTGCCTGCTGCCACCAGTAGCCTCCCACCGGCCAGTATGCTCTCATAGAGAGGGGCTCCTCCGGGTGCCGTCGGCCAAACAATGTAGACTGGCGGCCCCCAGGGGGAGAGCCTTCTCTGTGGGGGCACCTACTATCTGGAATGAGCTCCCCCCGGAGATACGGAGGATCCCGGATCTACACACCTTCCGTCGCGCTCTTAAAACCTTTTTATTCTGTCAGGCTGGCCTGGCCTAATTTTTTCCCTTTTAAAATACAAATTTTAAATTGGTCTTAATTCATTGGGGTGTTTTAAATCTGTCTTCAGCCAAATTATTTAATTCGGTTTTATCCTGTTTTTAAATTTTGTATTTATGTGTTTTTATCTTATGGCTGTTCACCACCTTGAGTCCTTCGGGAGTAGGGCGGTATACAAATCAAATAAAACAAACAAAACAAATAAAAATGAAGGGTCGTGGCATTAGGAAGGTTGAGAACCAGAGATTTAGAGTGCTGACTCATGCATGATGCAATCTATGCTATGATTGGTTGCTGTAAGTATAAATGGGGCGTTTCCCTTTTTTCCCTCCTTTTCTCCTTCTGTTCTGCATGATGTTTTAGATTTACCTCATGATGTTCCTGACTATCTTATGTTCTTCCTTTTCTGGATGATGACAAAAGACTGCTGTAAATCGGTAGGTTAAATATATTTATTTGTATATAAAAGTCTACAAGTCTGTATCAGTATCTTCAACTTCATCTGAAAAGCTGATGTGTAATTCCTTGACAGAACATCTTCTCTGGAGAACGTTTCCGAAAACAAAGTGACTTTGGCTAGAGATACATCTAAATAATATTTTATTGGTTTGGCCGATTCCACAGGAGCAGCAACCCCATATTCCTTTGTTGTCCATTGATGGGCTTGACCTTGGATCTGTTGGCCAAATCCAACACTGGGTTAATTGTACCCAATGCGAAGAGCCGATGAATCATGCCGAATCAAGGAAAGTGGGGTTCAACTTTTAATTTCTCTACAAAAGTCAACCTTGGACTTTACTTTTCACTTTGGGCTTTCATGTTCACAGCTTTAAAAAAATATCCTTAATAAAGACCATACCTGGAATACTGAGTTCAGTTCTGGTCACCAAATTACAAGAAAAATGTGGAGACTTTGGAAAAAGTGCAAAGAGCAACTAAGGATTAAAGGCCTGGAGATTAAAACATATGAAAAACGATTGCAGGAACTGGATATGGCTTGTCTAGAGAAAAGAAGGACTAGGGGAGACACAATAACCGTGTTCCAGTATTTTTTTTTTTTAATTTGATTTATATGCCGCCCTTCTCCGGAGACTCAGGGCGGCTTACAATGCGTTAAACAATAGCCTTCATACTTTTGTATATTTATACAAAGTCAGCTTATTGCCCCCACAAACTGGGTCCTCATTTCACCTACCTTAGAAAGGATGGAAGGCTGAGTCAACCTTGAGCCTTGGAGAGATTCGAACCAGCAGTAATTGCAGGCAGCTGTGTTAATAACAGGATGCTTAGACCACTGTACCATCAAGGCTCTTTCTGGGGCTGCTGCAAACAAGAAGTGCTCCACTTATTTTCCAAAGCACCAGAAGGCAGGACAAAAGACACATGTAAGGGGATGACCGCATGAGTGGGACACATGGGCAGGTACGCACACACTTTCATTTTGGGGATGGGCATGCTTTGGGCAGTCAGTGCCGAAAAGGTTAGCCATTATGGGCCTACGGCAAAAGTGGGGAAGTATGGCCCCTTTTAGGACTGCTGGACTTCAACTCCCAGAATTCCTGACACAGCTGGCTCAGGAATTCTGGGAGTTGAAGTCCACCAGTCATGAAAGGGCCCTGGTTCTCCAGCCCTGGCCTACAGCAACCTTTGTTCAGCCTTGGCAGCTTGAAGAAATGTGGGCTTCAACTCCCATGGGGAAGTCTGCCAGTTCATATCCACATATCCTAAAAGTTGCCAAGGGTGAGAAACAATGGCCCAGAGGAAAAGGGTGATACCTTTTTAAATGCACCCAGGACTTTAAAAGAGCCTGGTGGCGCAGCAGACTAATAGCCTGTTATTATCATTCAGCTGCCTGCAATTACTGCTAGTTCGAATCTCCCCAGGCTCAAGGTTGACTCAGCCTTCCATCCTTTCTAAAGTAGGTAAATTGAGGACCCAGTTTGTGGGGGCAATAAGCTGACTTTGTATAAATATACAAAAGTATGAAGGCTATTGCTTAACGCATTGTAAGCCGCCCTGAGTCTCCGGAGAAGGGCGGCATATAAATCAAATTAAAAAAACAAACACTTAAATTGAACAATGGAAACGAATTGAAGGGATGAAAGCAACGAGGGCAAAAAGATTAAAGGGCATCAGAAGGAGCCTTTACCCGATTCTCCCTCCGGAGGCGGCTCCTCTTGAGCAACTCCCCGAAACAAGGGCTCCTGGGAGGGATCGCCCCCTTTTCTCCCCGCCGGTTTCACAGCCACTGAACTCCAAGCCTCCCGGATCTGAAGCGGCCCCAGAGAAAAGGAAAAGGACGGGAAACGACCAGGAAGGGCCAGGGGAAAAAATGATAATAATCTCCCCAAGGAGAAAGTGGGGACTGCAGGAGGGATCTTAACAGCCCCCCAAGAAGCTGCATTGAAGGGTCTCCTGTCCAAGCAATTCCCCAGATGTGAAGAAGGAAGGAAGGAAGGAAGGAAGGAAGGAAGGAAAGAGCTTCTTACCTTGGGCCCGCAGGGAAAGGCGGCTCTGTTCCTAGTTCCAAGAGATGCGCGCAGGAAAGGATCCTCTTCCTTCCTTCCCGGCTACACACGTGGATCCCCCTCCCTGGAACGACCCCAGCCAGGAGTTTGTAGAGGACCAAACAGGAAGCACTTCTAGCTCCTCCCCTCTCCGTCCAGCTCCTCCCATTCTCTAAAGGGCGGAGAACGCAGATTACTCGGGGTCCCCCTGCCTTCTCTCACGGGGGGAATCGGTCGCGGGTGGGATGGTCAACTGGGCAGCGAGTCCACTGCTTCTTTTTCCCAGGCAACCAGAGAAAGAGAGGAGAGAGGGAGGGGACGAAGCCCAGGATGGGAGGAGGGAAGGGAATCGCCCTTTTGGAAGAAAACTGGAGTAGACAGGAAAAGGAGGCTGTCTTATCCACTGATTCTAACAGGGCAGTCCTCAACTAACAACATATCTCCTCAAGTGACTAGCATTCATGATTGTGCTGTAATAACAAATAATCAATGGCTGCCTTACAGGTAGTCCTCAATTTAAGGACCATACGTTTAGCGGCCCTTCGAAGCTAAAACGGCCTGGAAAAAAGTGACTTATGCTAAAGACCATTGCAGAATTCCCATGGTGACTTGAGTGAAATTCAGCCTCTTGACCACTGACTCTTACTTATTTGTTTGTTTTTTAAATTTATATACCGCCCTTCTCCCTGAGGACTCAGGGCAGTGTACAGCCAAAATTAAAAACATGAAATACAAATATTAAAAACAATTAAAATATATATAAATTTGGCCCAAAATTAAAAATACAAACCAATTAAAACATTTAAAATTTCTTCTTAAGCCAGCCCGGCTTGCTGGAAAAAGTGGGTTTTAAGGGCACGGCGGAAGGCACTGAGGACTTGGATTCTCCTTATCTCTGGGGGCAACTGATTCCAGAGGGTAGGTGCCCCCACAGAGAAGGCCCTCCCCCTGGGGGTCACCAGCCTGCATTGACTGTTGCTGTGTCTCAGGGTCATGTGAAGCTTCGGACAAGCAAAGTCAACGGGGAAGCCAGATTTGTTTAACAACCGTGTTACTAATGTTAACAACTGTGGTGATTCACGTAACAACTACGGCAAGAAATGTTGGAAAATGGGACAAAATTGACATCCAATTTCTTACTTCGCTACGGAAATTTTGGCCCGAACGGTGGTTGTAAGTCGAGGACAACCTGTGTTTGAAGTGTTGATGGGGCGTGTCTTGAGAGCAATATGATTTTGAGATGTAGACAACCACCATTCAGTCCAAAATGTCTTCCCCTAAAAGAGGAGAATAAAGATACAAGAGGAGAAAAAAACAACAGAAACTACTTTCTTTTGATTTTATCCCAATAAATAGAACCAAAAGGCCCCCTTAATGTTCCATAAGAGAGTCCCATTAACCATTCCATTCTGAAGTGGAAGAAAACCTCTCAGCTACAAAATATTTAACTATTTAAAAGGCCTGAGCTCGGAAAGACATAATCCCTCCGATTACAAGTATATGGAGCTCACAAGAAAAACTAATACAAAGTACAGGTAGTCTTCCTCTTACTACGGTTCATTTAATAACTCTTCAAATTTTCAATGACACTGAAAAAAGGAACTGACGACCCCTCTTCACACTTACAACCGTTGCAGCATCCCCATAATCACATGATCAAAATTGAGACACCTGGGAACTGAATCGCATTTATGACCGTTGTAGTGTCCAGGGGTCATGTGGTCACCTCTTGTGATCTTCCCACAAGCAAAGTCAATGGGAAAACCAGATTCACTTAACAACCGTGTTACTAATTTAAGAAGTGTAGTGATTCACTTGACTTACAATAAAGGTCACAAAATGGAGCAAAATTCACTTACCAAACAAGTAAAGTTTGGGGCTCACTTGCGGTTGTAACTGGAGGACTACCTATACAAAATATTTACCTCCTAGTTATACCTATCCACGCCTAAGAGAGCCTGCTTGAAGTTTGCAGAGAGAGGGTTCCTGGTGTATTCCCCATTTCCTCCTCAAGAATTGCTCTTGCCATCTGGTTGAAAGAAGGAAAGAGCTCCTTCTGGACTCAAATTCAGTTTTGCTTTTCCTTACCTTTCCTGCTCCAGACGCATTGCCCACGCCTCAAACTGAACACATTGAAGACAAGATTGTACGCAAAAACTTTATTCTGCAGAAAAAGTAACACAAGGAAATCTCTCTCAAAGCCTTTGTACCGGAATTTTGGGAGTTGAAGTCCACAAATCAAATAATGACCAAGGTTCCCCATCCTTGATGAGACTCTGGCCTTCCAATTGTCGGAGGCCAAACTGTGCATCTGGCTTTGTTCTCTGGGGAACCTGAGCCTTCTCCAAGGAATCATATGCCACTTTGCCCTCTTCCCCCTTTTGAGTTGTAAAATGGAACAAAACTCCCTTAACCACTGTCTTTCTTAACCATGGAAATGTTGGGCTTTAATTGTGGTCATAAGCCAAGGGCTGCCTGTATTTTCTAAAGCTGGTTCCCTAAATTGTCCAATTTACCGATCAAAAAGAGCCTATTTCTGAGATGTGTAAACTAAGCCTTCAGGCCTGCCACATTTACTACTGTGGTAAATTGGGAGGGGGGATTGTATGGAGCATGGATGATATATAGTCATGATAACATTCCTTTCTCAGAGAGTCAAGGACACTGTGCCCTGCACCTGGAGGGCTGGAACTGGGAGGCATCTTCAGTTGGGACAGTGCTTTGATTAGACCCATGTGATGGACATGTGGGTGCTGGGCAGGGACTTGGACTTTCCTTTGGATGGGGAAAACGGAAGCTTTCAGATTTGGGTTTTCTCAGATGTGCCAATATGACATCTCTAATAAAATGGAAATTTGAGGAACTTCAAGCCTTGGAGTCTTCTTTCGTCAGGGGTGTTATCTGGAACCCTGGCAGTTGCCTTTTGAAAAAAAGTACCTTTGGGACAACCGCAACCTGGATGACTGAGAATCTCCATAGACATCTGGAGGTGCTAGTTTCCAAATCCCTACCTACCTTTGCTGTACGCATTCACAAAACATGATCATTTGTTGTACGTATGTACATTGAGAGCTGATGCACCCAATTCCAAACAAATTCTTTTCTGTCCAATAACACTTGGCCAATAAATAATTCTGTCGGTAGGATGGAGTGCGTGAGTGGCCACAGGAAATTCGTTATCGGGTATCTTAGTTTGCCTGCATGTTAGGACCACCTGCCTTCCACCCCATGCCTCCGTCTGCTGCTGGTGCCACTGTGCAAAGATGAGCCGCAGAGTGCGCTGACCAAGGGACAGGCAGGATGCAGCAGCTGCCAGATAATGCTGGTCCCGCTTGCTGCCTCTTCAGCATGCGCCAGGGGGCACAAGGTGAACAGCTGGGCTGATTAGCCTGAAATTGTGTTCCCCCCCTCCCAAAAAAAGCCCTAGGGCTTATTTTGGAGCCCAAAAAAACCATAAGACCGGGTCTTATTTTGGGGAAAACATGGTATCCAAGAGTTAATTCCTAATTATATGAAGAAATTCTTATTTTTAATGGATCAAAAAACATCTACTGCTTTAGAACCCCTTTTCCATACACTATGGGGTTTTTACAGATTCTCCTGGGCACGAAGCAAATTTTGAGAATCAACACAAACCAATTAGCGTCGTCTTTTCCTGCTGTGCATCTTCTTATGTCGATTAAAGCCATCAGAGGTTGTGAATTTCTTTTCACACTCCACACACTGATACGGCTTCTCCCCTGTGTGGATTCTTTTATGGAGCGTAAGCTTCCAGCTGTCTTTGAAACTCTTTCCACAGTCAACGCATTTAAACGGTTTCTCTCCTGTGTGGATCCTCATGTGGGAGGTAAGCCTGCCACTCTCTCTATAACATTTCCCACACTCCAGGCATTTATAGGGTTTCTCCCCTGAGTGAATCCTTCTATGGCTCCTGAGTGAATTATTTTGATTAAAGCTTTTTCCACACTCGTAACATGTGTATGGTTTCTCTCCAGTGTGGATCCTCTTGTGGATACCAAGGCAACCACTTCTTCTGAAACTCATGCCACACTCCATGCACTTAAAGGGTTTCTCCCCTGTGTGAATCCTTTTATGGATCGTCAGTGCTCCAGAAACACTGAAGCATTTTTCACACTCCTGGCACTGATATGGTTTCTCTCCAGTGTGGGTTCTGCTATGTACAACATAGCCATTTTTTGTATTGAAGCTCTTTCCACATGTACGGCATTCATATGGTTTCTCCCCAGTGTGGAGTCTTTTGTGGCGAGTGAGGTACCTCGAACTAGTGAAGCATTTGCCACATTCAGTGCACTTATAAGGCTTTTCACCTGTGTGGGTCCTTTTATGGAGCGTAAGATTACCACTGAGTCGGAAACTCTTTCCACAGTCGATGCATTTAAATGGCTTCTCTCCTGTGTGGATTGTCATGTGGGAGGTAAGCTGGCCACTGTCTCTATAACATTTTCCACACTCCAGGCATTTATAGGGTTTCTCCCCTGAGTGAATCCTTCTATGGTACCTGAGTGAACTATTTTGACTAAAGCTATTTCCGCACTCGTGACATGTGTATGGTTTCTCCCCAGTGTGGATCCTCTTGTGATTACCAAGTTTACTACTTTTTGTGAAACTCATGCCACACTCGGTGCACTTATAGGGTTTCTCCCCTGTGTGAATCCTTTTATGGATCGTCAGTGCTCCAGAATCCCTGAAGCGTTTTCCACACTCCTGGCACTGATATGGTTTCTCCCCAGTGTGGGTTCTGCTATGTACAACATAGCCATTTTTTGTATTGAAGCTCTTTCCACATGTACGGCATTCATATGGTTTCTCCCCAGTGTGGAGTCTTTTGTGGCGAGTGAGGTACCTCGAACTAGTGAAGCATTTGCCACATTTGGTGCACTTATAAGGCTTTTCACCTGTGTGGATCCTCTTATGGTAAGTGAGGTGAGTTGCAGAGCGGAAGCTCTTCCCACATTCCAGGCATTTACATGATTTATTCCCAGTGGGACTTTTTTCCCGGGAATTCAGTTCCTTCCTCTGAATAAACCTCGTTCTACCCTCCCTGCGTTGATACAACTTCTCCTCCCTGTGGATGCTTTGATGGGAAGTAAGGGAGGTGCTGTTTCTGAAGGTCTTTCCACAGGTGATGCATTGATGCTGCTTCCTCTCTTCGTGGACCCTCTTATGTGAATTAAGGTGATTTTTCTGCCTGAAGGTCCTTCCACAATCCAGACATTTGTGTGGATCCTCTGTTCTGTGAATCGTTTTATGCATTGAAAGGGAATGGCTTGTACTGAAGTTTTCTGCACACTCCGTACATTTGTACATTTCCCCTCCTTCTTGTATGCTTTCATGTAAAGGAGGAGGAAGGGTCCCTCTGGAGTGTTGCCTGCTTTCATCTTGTTTCTCTCCAGAAGGGCTTTTGCAACAGTCACATAATCCAGATTCATCTTGGAGTGTTTTCCCACACCTTGAACACACTTCTTTTTCTCGGCAATCATCTCCGTCTAATAAGACATTGGGATCTCGACGAGGAAAACCAGAACAATTCTCCAGCTCCCCCGTTAACTGCTTTTCCTCAGAACTTTGCTTTCCATGCATCTTTTCTACATCTTCTTTTTTGTCTTTTGGCAAAGGTGCTGCTGCCTCTTGGCCAGAATCCTCCATCTCCCATCCGTCACCTGCTTGCAACAGAAAAAAAGAAAAGTTAAGACAAACTTAGGTGTGAAAAGGATCAAGCACCATTGCTGTATTTGAACAGTATCAATATTCTTCCAAACTCCCATTTGTTCAAAACATGACGTTATGCTTGTTATTAATGTGGAAACAGAGTTGTATTGTTTTTACAGAATTGTAGGAAGATCTGTTGGCCTGTGATGAAAATACATTGTATATGTTTCTAATCTCATGAGCTAGGCTGAAAAAGTGGGGAAGTATGGCCCTTTTATGGCTGTTGGACTTCAACTCCCAGAATACCTGACACACCTGGCTCAGGAATTCTGGGAGTGGAAATCCACCAATCATAGAAGGGCCCTAGTTCCCCACCCCTACAGCAACGTTTCTCAATGGTGGGGGGCTGTAAGATATGTGGACTTCAACACACATGGGAAATTCTGGGAGTTGAAGCATAAAGTTGCCCGAAGGAAAGGCAATATCTTTTTAAATGAACACAAAAGACTTTTTCAAGGCACAAAAGACTTTTAAAAAGCAGTTAAATTGAACAATGAAAATGAATTCAGGGATGAAAGAAACGAGGGCAAAGAGATTAAAAGGCATCAGAAGGAGCCTTTACCCAGAGCATCTCCCCAAAACAAGGGCTCCTGGGAGGGATCGCCCCCTTTTCCTCCGGCCACTTTAGCAGCCATTGAACTCCAAGTCTTCTGGATCTGAAACGGCACCAGAGAAAATGAAGTAACGGGAAACGATCAGGAAGGGCCGGCAAAAAAAAACTAATAATAATCTTCCCAAGAAGAAAGTGGGGACTGCAGGAGGATCTTAGCAGCGCCCCAAGAAGCTGCATTGAAGGCTCTCCTGTCCGAGCATTTCCCCAGGTGGGAAGAAGGAAGGAAGGAAGGGAGGAAGGAGCTGCTCACCTGGCGCTCCATAGGAAAGAGGCGGCTCTCTTCCTCGCCCGGACTCCGCTCCCCAAGAGAGGCGCCCAGGATCGCCGCCGGACTCGCACCTGGATCCCCCCTCCCCGGAACGACCCCAGCCAAGTAGTTTCCTCCAGGATTGCCAGGTGGGAAAAACGAAGGGAAGGAAGGAGGAAGGAAGGGAGCTTCTTACCGAAGGCTCCAAGAGATGCGCGCAGGAAAAGATCCACTTTCACCGCAGCCCCACCAGCTGAGCTTCCTTCCTTCCCGGCTGTGCACGTGGATCCCCCTCAGTGGTGGTATTCAAACTTTTTTACTGCTGGTTGTGTGGGCGTGGCTTGTTTTGTTGGTGTGGCTTGATAGTCATGTGACAGTGGGCGTGGCTTAGTGATCATGTGACTGGGCAGGCGTAGCTTGGTGGTCATGTGACTGGTGGGTGTAGCTGAGTGGTCGTGGTTTGGCTTGGTGGTCATGCTCTCTAAAGGGCAGTCTTTGCTAGAGAATCCGCTGTCTTGAATCAGTGATTATTTATTTATTTATTTTATTTATTTAATTATATTTGTATACCGCCCTTCTCCCGAGGGACTCAGGGCGGTGAACAGCCATGGTAAAAACAATGTACAACAAAAATTAAAAGCTTATTAAAATAATTCAATCAATCGGCCAAATTTAAAACATCCAACTAAGATCATTTTAAAACCCCTATCAAAACCCAATTTAAAAAACCTTTATCCTGTCAGTCCAGCTTGCTGGAATAATAGGGTCTTCAAAGCGTGAGGGAAGGCACGGAGGTCGGGGATCCTTCGTATGTCCGGGGGTAGTTCATTCCATAGGACCGGGGCCCCCACAGAGAAGGCCGTCCCCCTGGGGGTCGCCAGCCTACACTGTTTGGCTGACGGCACCCTGAGGAGGCCCTCTCTGTGGGAGCGTATTGGTCGGTGGGAGGCAATCGGCAGAATGCGGTCCTGTAGATAACCAGGTCCTAAACCATGGAGCACTTTAAAGGTGGTAACCAACACCTTGAAGCGCACCCGGAAGACCACCAGGAGCCAGTGCAGCTCACGCAAGATGGGTGTTACATGGGAGTGACAGGTCGCCCCCATTATTACTTGCGCGGCTGCATTCTGGACCAGCTGGAGCCTCCGGGTGCTCCTCAAGGGGATTAAATTCCTAAAGGACAGGTAGTCCTCGATTTACAACCACAATTGCGGCCAAAATTTATGTTGCTCAGTGAGACAGTTGTTAAGTGAGTTTTGCCCCATTTTACAACCTTTCTTGCCATGGTTGTTAAGGAAACGGTTGCAGTTGTTAAGTCAGTAATACAGCTGTTAAGTGAATCTGGCTTCTCCCATTGACTTGGCTTATCAGAAGGTTGTAAAAAGTGTTCACAAACCCCGTGGACACTGCAATGATCATAAATAAGTCAGTTGCCAAGCAGTTTAATTTTGATCACATGGCTCTGGGGATACCACAATGGTTGTTAAGTGCAGAAATACAGCCATAAGTCCCTTTTTTTCAGCACTGCTGTAATTTCGGTCACATAAACTAATTGTTGTAAGTGGAGGACTACCTATCCTACCAAAAAGAGCCGGATTTGTAATGTTACTGCTCATTCATTCTATTTAAAAAAAGAATCATGCAAAAAGTAAGATCTTTTTAAAAAAATACCTAGGCACCTCCCCTCCACCACGCCCCCAGCTCTTATTTAACGTTGGCCGTTAAATAAGTGCAAATCTATATTCTTCATTTAAATCGAGGCTTGTCTTTCTATTTCCTTACTCACCACCCAGTAGTTACATGTTCATCCAGATCATTCCCCGGATGCTTTCTTGTGAGTAACGCAGAAGTTGTTACACGCTGTCTGGAGTTAAGTTTACCTGCTCTCTCCGCTTCTAATTTTCCTGTTGCCGAGGTGAAGTCCGGAGCTTCCCGTTTTCCATGTCCACTCCATCCCAAGTGGCTGCCACTCCACAACCCCCCCCACTGCCACTTGCAGCTCACCGCTACTGCCACCGCCTGCCATCCCAAGCGGCAGGAGATGCAGCAGCAGAAGCAGGCTAAAGGTGAGCTTTCACTCCAGGCAGGTGAGATCCAAGTGGCAGGAAGGGGGTCGCAGCTGGAACCCCGGTGGCTTCAGGAAACGCTAGCCCGGCAGGGAAGGGGACAGTGGCCTGCCAAGCTTTGCGGCTATGCAACCATGAAGCTTGCTGGGCCACCCCCACCTCTCCGCCATGGCTGCAACACCGGCGGCTTTGGGAGATACTAGGCTGGCGGCGGCCCGGCAAAGTTCATGGCTACGTGGCCCTTTTTCACACTTACAACACTTACAGCATCCCCATGATCACGTGATCAAAATTCAAGCATCTGGGAACTGAATTGCATTTATGACCGTTGTAGTGTTTTTGCTTAACAACTGCGTTGCTAATTTAACAACTGCAAGGATTCACTTAACAACTGTGGCAAGGTCACAAAATGGAGCAAAATTGACTTTTTTTTTTGCTTTAATTTATATGCCGCCCTTCTCTGGAGACTCAGGGCGTCTTACAATGCGTTAAGCAATAGCCTTCATACTTTTGTATATTTACATCACCCTGAGTCCACTAGGAGAAGGGCGGGATATAAATTGAATAAATGAATAAATACAAAGTCAGCTTATTGCCCCCACAATCTGGGTCCTCATTTTACCTACCTTTGAAAGGATGGAAGGCTGAGTCAACCTTGAGCCTGGTGAGATTTGAACTTGCAGTAATTGCAAGCAGCAGATGTTAATAACAGTGCTTTAGTCCACTGTGCTACCAAGGCTCTATACTTAACAAACATCTCACTTAACAAGAAAAATTTGGGCTCACTTGTGCTCATAAATTGAGGACTACCTCTACAAACTATTTCTCCTATAGTAAAACAGCTCCAAGCCTAAGAGAGCCTGCTTGAAGTTTGCAGAGAGAGGGTTCCTGGCGTATTCCCCATTTCCTCCTCAAGAATTGCTCTTGCCATCTGGTTGAAAGAAGGAAAGAGCTCCTTCTGGACTCAAAGGCACTTTTGGTTTTCCTTACCTTTCCTGTTCCAGGCGCGTAACCAGATGTGCCCATGCCTCAAACAGAACACATTGAAGACAAGATTGTAAGCAAAAATTTTATTCTGCAGAAAAAGTAACACAAATAAATCTCCCTCAAAGCCTTTGTACCCCACCAAAGTCCACTGGAAGGCTTTACACAGCATTTGCCCCACAATTTACAAATCAGTCAGAAGGAATTTTCTCATCTCATCTTTACATTAATTCCTGCCTGTTTTACACTAACATCTTAGTCTTCCTGCATAACGGTATATGTAATATAGAGCTCAGCCAAGCTATTTAAAGCTATCCTAACGTTTACACAGGGAAACCTTCTTCCCCCTTTTGAGATTGTAACTTTTATTATGAATATTCAGATGTGTCATTATGCTTGTAATCCTTTTCTTAAAGAGCAAGTATTGACTGTAATCCTTTCTCCATTTTCAATGTATTGGACACTTAAAGACTTTACTGCAGGAAGGCACTAGAAACAGCAACAGACCATAATTCCATTAAGTCTAGGCCAGAGGTATCCAAAATTGGCAACTTTTAAGACTCATAGACTTCAACTCCCAGAATTCCCCAGCCAGCATGGTAACATGTGTGCCAGAGGAATCATGGGAACTGAAGTTCACAAATCTTAAAGTTGCCATGTTTGGAGATCCCTAGTCTAGGCCCTGATGGATTTTTGATGTTAAGAAATTCCTTCCCTGTATTTTCCAATGTGGGTTTCAGTGAATTGGCAATTGTCAGTTAGACTGAAACAAAACTTTAACATTCATGACTCTGCCTTAATAAGAAATAATTGCTGCTTTACAATTAGTCCTCATCTTACAATCATTTTTTCAGTGACTATTTGAAGTTACAACGGCACTGAAAAAAAAGATTTATGAATTTTTTCACGCAACCTTTGCAGCATCCCTGATCAAAATTCGGACACTTGGCAACCGGCCTGTATTTTTGATAGTTGGAGCGTCCCAGGGTCATGTGATCACCGTTTGAGACCTTCTGACAGGCAAAGTCAACAGGGAAACCAGATTCACTTAAAACCATGATACTAACTGAGCAATTGTGGCAAAAGTTATAAAATGGAACAAAACTCACTTAACCACTATCTTATTTAGCCATGGAAATATTGGGCTTAATTGTGGTCATAAGTTAAGGGCTGCCTGTATTTTCTAAAGCTGGTTCCCTAAATTTACTGATCAAAAAGAGCCTATATCTGAGATGTATAAGCTAAGCCCCAAGCTACTGTATAAGTTAGGATTAATAAAAATCAACCACAATTAATATCATATCTCAGACTAGAAATCAGAAACTTCTTCGATATTCAAGCAAAAAAAAAAAGTCCAGTTGCCTTTTGATAAAAGCAGCTTTGGGTCAACCACAGCCTGGATGACTAAGAATCTCCATAGACATCTGGATGTGTTAGTTTCCAAATCCCTACCTACCTTTGGTGTTCGCATTGACAAAAGTTTATCATTTGTTGCATGTTATGTACACTGAGAGCGTATGCACCAGAGACACATTCCTTGTATATCCAACCTCACTTGGCCAATGAGAAAATTCCATTCAATTCTCATTCCTGTTCCCATTCTTATATTCTATTCCATTTCTATTCTTATTGTTTCTAATCTTATTCTACTCTACTCTAGCACAAAGATCTAATGTCCAAAAGTTAATTCCTACAAGGCAACACTTCTTTTTAATGGATCAAGACATTTCTGTTGCTCGGAAGCCCTTCCAAAACTCCATGGATTTCTATAGAATCTCCCACAAAACTCCTGTCTGCATGAAGCAAATTTTGAGAATCAACACAAACCAACACACATCATTTTTTCCTGCTGTGCGTCTTTTTATGGTAATTAAAGTCACTACAGGTTCTGAATTTCTTTCCACATTCCACACACTGATACGGCTTCTCCCCTGTGTGGATTCTTTTATGGAGCGTAAGATTCCTGCCGTCTTTGAAACTCTTTCCACAGTCGATGCATTTGAATGGTTTCTCCCCTGTGTGGATCCTCATGTGGGAGGTAAGCTGGCCACTCTCTCTAAAACATTTTCCACACTCCAGGCATTTATAGGGTTTCTCCCCTGAGTGAATCCTTCTATGGCTCCTGAGTGAATTATTATGATTAAAGCTTTTTCCACACTCATGACATGTGTATGGTTTCTCTCCAGTGTGGGTCCTCTTGTGGATACCAAGGTAACCACTTCTTCTGAAACTCATGCCACACTCCGTGCACTTAAAGGGTTTCTCCCCTGTGTGAATCCTTTTATGGATCGTCAGTTCTCCAGAATCACTGAAGCGTTTTCCACACTCCTGGCACTGATATGGTTTCTCCCCAGTGTGTGTTCTGCTATGTAGGATATAGCTATGTTTTGTATTTAAGCTCTTTCCACAAGTGTGGCATTCATATGGTTTCTCACCAGTGTGGAGCCTTTTATGGCAAGTGAGAGACCTCGAACTAGTGAAGTATTTTCCACAAACTGTGCATTTATACAGCTTCTCTCCAGTGTGGATCCTCTTATGTAAATTGAAATGACTTTTCTCAGTGAAGCTCTTCCCACATTCTAGGAATTTACATGATTTATTCCCAGTGAAGCTTTTTTCCCGGGAATTCGGTTCCTTGCTCTGAGTAAACCTCATTCTACCCTCCCTGCGTTGATGCAACCTCTCCTCTCTGTGGATGCTTTGATGGGAAGTAAGGGAGGCGCTGCTTTGGAAGCTGTTTCCCCTATTAATGCATTGATGCTGTTTCCTCTCTTCATGGACTTTCTTAGGTGAATTAAGGTGACTTTTCTGCCTGAAGGTCCTTCCACAATCCAGACGTTTATGTGGATCCTCTGCTTTATGAATCTTTTTATTCATTGAAAGGGAGAGGCTTGTACTGAAACTTTCTGCACACTCCGTACATTTGTATAGTTTTTCTTCTTCTATTCTCTGATGTAAAGCAAGACGAGGAATCCTTCTGGAGCGTTGCCTGCTTTTATCTTGTTTCTCTCCAACAGGGCTTTGGCAACAGTCACATAATCCAGATTCATCTTGGAGTGTTTTCCTACATCTTGAACAGACTTCTCTTTCATGGCAATCATCTGTGTCCAATAAGATATTGGGATCTGGACAAGGTAAACTAGAGCAATTCTTCAGCTCAGCCATTAACTGGTTTTCCTCAGAACTTTGCTTTCCATACATCTTTTTTACAACTTCTTTTTTGTCTTCTGGCAAAAGTGCTGCTGCCTCTTGGCCAGAATCCTCCACCTCCCATCCGTCACCTGCTTGCAACAGAAAAAAAAAGAAAAGTTAAAACAAACTTAGATGCAAAAGGGATCAAGCACCATTGCTGTATTTGAACAGGATCAAACTTCCTCCAAAATCCCATTGGTTCAAAACATGGTGTCAACTCTGAAGCTATTTTGGATCGTGTTCAGGGTTGCCAGAGAGGCTGGGTAGAGCTGTGGTAACGGAAGGGCGGAGTAGAGATAGCTGGGCATGTGTAGCCAAAATAGAATTCTAGATGTAAAAAAGTTGTTGAGACTCTAGAAAAAGTGCAGAGAAGTGCAACAAAGATGATTAGGGGGCTGGGGACTAAAACATATGAAGAAGGGCACATCTAGTTTAATGAAAAGAAGGACTAGGGGTGACATGATCTCAGAGGTTGCCACAGAGAGGAGGGAGTCAAACTTTCTTTTTTCCTTGACCATGTTTCGCTTCTCATCCAAGAAGCTTCTTCAGTTCTGGCTCTTTCCGACCAGATGACTGCAAGGAGTATAAATTCTTGTGATAAACCCATGAACTCTTATCGGGCTCTTTAGTGTCATCATTATAAACCAAAAAAACAACAAAATGAAAACAACTTCTAAAAAACAAGTGCAAGAGGCAGGATCAGAAACTGGCTAGGATGGGAAACTTCATGAGGACAGTGTGTGGAGGTTTTAGGCCATTTTATCAGACTAAGTAGGAGTAGAAATGTAAAAAGGACACTCTTATCTACCGCATAAATCGAACAAATTAGCTTTTTATCTGAGCTGCTCATGTCCACCACTCTTTCAGACAAGGGGAGAAAAATCAGTCAGGGAATTGCTCAGTAGGTATCCAAATGAAGTCAGAGAGGCTGGCACAAACTTTATATAAATTAATGTGTGTGTATATATGTGTGTTAAAATGAAATTTTACTGTAGATATAAATTTACAGTAAAATTTCATCCAGTTGGTCTGGAAAAGTATTGGGCAGCTTCATCAGCACACATCGCTTTACTTGTTGTTCATAAGTTATAGTAATTCAATCGTTTTTCGGAATCACGCAAACCAGCCATAGCTGGCTCCAAAGGTCTCACTGTAACTCCTCAGCCGCTCCTCGCTTTAGCATTTCAAAAATGCTGCGTGCCTTTGCCTGAATCAGATGAAGACTAATGGGACTTTTTTTTTTGGATCTGTTTGTCAATCCAAAGCACAAGAAGCTGTTCTGTTTTTTAAATGAGGCCTGTCTTATTTCTTGTGATTATGGCATCTGTTCCTGGAGCTGATTTAATCGCCTCTGTTATCTTTTCTCAATCCTTAAGGATCGTACATATGGTGGGAAAGGCCAGTCCTTCTTCTTCTCCTATGGTCTTTATCTTCTTCCCCTCCACATGAGCTCTAATTATTTTCCTTTTCAAGTCCAAATTGACACTTTTCCTTTGTTTCTTACCTCCATGTTGAGCTGGAGTAGAGCTTGGTCGCTTTCCTTGGGAAGACACTCCTTGCCTAAGAGGCAAGAGTTGATGGAAAGGTACAGTATCTTGTCCTGGAGAGAGAGAGAGAGACTGGCTCAGAACTGTTTAGTAAGATCAATGTTAGGGTGGAGGGAGGAAGAACTGTAGTGCAGGAATGTGTTTTCCTTCTCTGTCGACCATTTCTTTCCCTTGACAAAAGTATAGCAAGGGTCGCTGCTAGCAGCCATATACCGTGTTTCCCCGAAAATAAGACCCTGTCTTATATTTTTTTGAGCCCTAAAATAAGCACTTAGTCTTATTTTCGGGGAGGTCTTATTATTTTGCGCCGCGTGGAGCAAGATGCTCCCCTTCTTGCCGTCTTCTCCTGATTTCCAGCTCTGTTTCCCTAACCCTAACCAGAGGAAATTGCGGGGACCAGCTGCGTATGCGTTTAAATGTTTTCGGGGAGGGCTTATTTTCAGGGAAACAGGGTAGTGCAGTGTTCGAAAGTCTTTTATTTACAGTATTGTATTAAACTTTGGCTTATATATTCCATCTTTGTTCTTAACCAGTTCTACTTGGTTATTTTTTCCCTTCATGCACAGCATGTACAAGATTGAATCTGATTCTTAACAAACGGGAGCAAGTGGATTGTGAAGGCCAGTACTCTCCATACTGTCCATTTGTGAAGAAAAGCCAGGCTTCTTAGAAAAGGATGAAAACAGGGGTGAAATCCAGCAGGTTCTAACAGGTTCTGGAGAACCGGTAGCGGAAATTTTGAGTAGTTCGGAGAACCGGCAAATACCACCTCTGGCTGGCCCAGAGTGGGGTAGGAATGGAGATTTTGCAATATCCATCCCTCAGGAGGGGAGGGAATGGAGAGTTTGCAGTATCCTTTCCCTGCCATGCCAACCAAGCCACGCCCACAAAACCAGTAGGGGAAAAATTTGGATTTCACCCTGGGATGAAAACCTCAGATAAATAGCTTGCAAATTTGGAAATCAGCAGTTTAGAGAAGAATACAGCAACATAAAACAAATAATCATGCTGGAGGGCTTCACATGCATTAATTTAAAAAAATATAATTTGCACTACAATATCTTAACACAATCCCTTACCTAAAGAGGCCATGTTCCTCTTGTTTTCCAGCATGACCTCCTGGTACAAGGCTTTTTGCTTAGAATCCAGCAGGGCCCACTCCTCCATGGAGAAAAACACAGCTACATCCTCAAATGATACCAAATTCTGACACAGGGAGGGGAAAAAAACACAACATATTCCATGAATATTCCTAACAATGAACACTGCAATTATTTTATTTATTATTTATTTATTTTTTTGATTTATATGCCGCCCTTCTCCGGAGACTCAGAGCGGCTTACAATGCGTTAACCAATAGCCTTCATACTTTTGTATATTTATACAAAGTCAGCTTATTGCCCCCACAAACTGGGTCCTCAATTTACCCACCTTAGAAAGGATGGAAGGCTGAGTCGACCTTGAGCCTGGTGAGAATTGAACTCGCAGTAATTGCAGGCAGCTGGATGTTAAATGCTGCCTTAGGAGGCATTAGCCTCCTACGCCACTCAGGCTCCTAATGAGTCTTCTTCTTAATGAAAAATCTCCACAGCTTCCAAGTAGGGCAAACAAGCATGTTAGGAGATTGAATTTAGTAGCTGGAACAGTAAAATGTACATCAGGCCAGAACACAATTGAAATTGATTAGTTAGAGAGTGCTGACTCATGTGTGATGCAATCTACGCTCTGATTGGTTGCTGTAAGTATAAAGGGGGCGTTTCCCTTTTTCCCCTCCTTTTTTCCTTCTGGGTTTTAGATTTACCTCAGGATGTTCCTGACTATCTTATGTTCTTCCTTTTCTGGATGATGACAACGACTGCGGTAAATTGGTAGGTTAAATAGATTTTAAGTTAAATTTTAAACTGATTTTAAATTGGAATTTTTAATTACGGCCAGAATATTTAATTATTTTAAACAGTTTTTAGATTTTGTATGTCTTGTTTTTACTTTGGCTGTTCACCGCCCTGAGTCCTATATTGGAGAAGGGCGGTATAGAAATTTAAACAAATAAATAAATAAAATAAATTTATATTTATATAAAAGTTTACAAGTCTGGAATACTGAGTTCAGTTTTGGTCACCACATTGCAAAAAAAAGATGTTCAGATTTTGGGAAAAGTGCAGAGAAGAACAACTAACATAATTAAAGGCCTGGAGACTAAAACATATGAAAAAACGACTGCAGGAACTGGATATGGCTAGTCTAGGGAAAAGAAGGACTAGGGGTAACATGATAGCAGTGTTTCAATATTTGAGGGGCTGCCACAAACAAGAGGAGCTCAACTTATTTTCCAAAGCACCAAAAGGCAGGAAAAGAAACAATGGATGGAGACAAATCAAGGAGAAAGGCAACCTGGAAATAAGGAGAAACTTCTGGACAGTGAGAACAATTAACTAATGGAATGGGTTGTCTCCAGAAGTTCTGGACTGCTGGCCCCAAACTGATAAAGAAAATTGAGGAATATGGAGAGGTGGTGGAGATGAAAATAAACAAAGATAAAACTAAGGTATTAGTCAAAAATCTTACAAACAAAAAAAGGTATTGACAGAAAAAATTGGTTTACAGATAACAAAAAAGGTTAAATATCTTGGTATCCATCTAACAGCAAGGTGTGTGACAACCAAATATGATAATTATATAAAATTGATACACCAAATTAAATTGGACCAGGAAAGGTGGAAGAATTTACAGTTATCTATGATAGGGAGAACAGCAGTTGTAAAAATGAACATATTACCAAAATTGCTCTTTTTATTTCAAACAATACCAATAAAGTTAGAAAAGAAAATTTTTGATGAACTACAGTAAATAAAATGACTCTGAAGTATACTTGGCAAGGTAAAAAACCGGGAATAAAATTGAAAATGTTACAGGAATCTAGAATTAATGGGGGCTTTGGACTCCCAGACTGGGAACTATACCATCAGGCAGCAGCTCTTACATGGTTAAAAGAATGGGTAAACCTGAAACACAGAAGGCTATTATTATTAGAAGGACATGATCTGCAATTAGGTTGGCACGCTTTTCTTTGGTATGGTAGAAGCACGGTGCAGAAATATTTTCAGAGGCATTATGTGAGGAATGCGTTGCTTAACATGGGAAAAAATTAAATCACAACATTATAGGAAAATACCAATCTGGCTCTCCACAATGGAGGCATTAATATAGCCAAACCTCATTAATCTGGAAAAAAAAATGTACTTTATAAAGATATTTTAAATGAGAGGGGTGAACTTAAATCTAGGCAATAACTACAGAACCAAGGGATAGATCTAGATTGGTGGCCGTATTTCCAGATTCAGTTAAGATATGAGAAAGTTGTTAGAACATGGGGTGTAAGTAAAGAACCAACAGCATTTGACAAAATTTTAATGGGGACAGATGAAAAACCTGATTTTAAAAAAATATAATTATTTACTGAACTATAAAATGGAGGAAGAAATAGTTAAAGAAACGATGATTGCTTGGGCAAAAAAATTTGGCTATAATATAGAATTAGAGAAATGGCAAAAACTTTGGGACAGAAATTACTCATTGACTATGGCCTCGGCATACAAAGAAAACCTCTATAAGATGTTTTATAGGTGGCATTTACCACCTGCAAGATTGGCAAAAATGTTCATTAACCTATATGCCAAATGCTGGAAATGTAACCATACCCCAGACACCTATTACCATATGTGGTGGACATGCGGTAAAGCAAGAAAATATTAGGAGAACATACATAACTGGCTGGAAATGATAACTGAACAAAATATTGTGTTTAAACCAGAAACATGTCTCTTAGGTATACTACCAGAGGATTATGATAAACTGACCACGTATTTAGTCTTACATATACTGACAGCAGCAAGGATTACATATGCTAAATACTGGAAAAATATGAACATCCCACCAGACAAGGTTGTAATTAGAAAAATTTGGGACTGTGCTGAAATGGACAGACTAACTTTAAAAATTAAAGATAAAGAAGATTCAGAATACTATCGGACATGGAATAAATTTTATGAATGGATATAGAGAAAAGAGGTAGAAATTAGAGAAAGTAAGATTATGAGTGTTTATATTATTAATATTGAAAGTAAGGAGGTATATAACTATAAATATAGTAATTGATAAAAATGTAAATAAGCTAATGTCAGAAGAAACCTAGTTTAAACTTTTTGGTTATATTATTATTACTGCAATTATATTATTACTATTGTTATTAGTTTGTGTCCTAAGATTTACTACCAACTCTCTTTGGCTTTGATCTAGTGGTGGATTGCTCCCGATTCGATCCGGTTCTATAGAATCGGTAGTAAAACAGGCAGGAGGCTCCGCTCACCCACCACACCGTCGTCATGGGTGATCTGCGCATGCGCAAAAGCTTCTGCACATGCGCACGCACGCTCCTGCTGCGAACCGGTAGTAAAGGTAAGTAGAACCCACCCCTGCTTTGATCTACTTATAAATGATACTCTGACAATGCACTGTTTTTCAAAAATGTTTATGAATGAAAATTTATTTTAAAAAAAGAAGAAATTGTGGGCTGAAGGTTTTTCAGGAGAGACTGGACACCTACTTGTATAAAATGGTATAGGGCCGTGGTGGTGTACCTATGGCACACGTGCTACAGAGAGTCCTCCCTGCAGGCACGCCAGCCGCCAACCCCACCCCAGCTCCACCGTAGATGTCTGCGTGCCTCCTGCCAGCCAGCTGATCTTCGGGTCTCTGCTGTGCATGCACGGGGAGGCGCATACGGAGGATGGGGGGCATGCACAGGGGGATGGTGTGCGTGTGCGGGGGATGCGCACATGCTTTGGGCACTCGGTGCCAAAAAGATGAACCATCACTGGTATAGGGTCTCCTGCTTGAAACAGAGGGTTTTACTAGATCTCCAAGATCCCTTCCAATTGTGTTATTCTGTTATTGGGAGATTGGCACATCTGGGGAAGGAAGAGGAGAATCTTCCTACCTGCGTTGGAAGCTCAACCGCTGCTAATCCTCCACTACAAAGAACTGAAGTTCCAGGAGATGAAGACGAGGCCATGAGAGTGTCTAGGAGTGAAAAAAACAAAACAGCAAAAGAATAATTTGCTATCAAACATCCTAATGATAATCTTGAGCATATAATGCAAAAAGCTGATTTTAGCCTATTTCTAGGCTAATTTGGGAAACACTTAATGTGAGTGCCTGGCAGCCATAATAACAATACAAAGAAGCTCAGCCTGGGTGAGAGGAAAACTGAAAGGTGTGGAAGGACCAGGGGATTGGATTCAGAGGAACCTCTCTGAGCCATGGATGTGTGCATTAAAGTATAAGGTGACCAGACGTCCCACTTTTGGCGGGACAGTCCCGCTTTTGAACAATTTGTCCCGCGTCCTGCGGCGTTTTAAAAAAGTCCCAATTTTTGGAAAGAATGCACGGCGCAGTGGTGGGTTACTCCCGGCTGCCTCTTGAGTCCCAGCTGATGGCTAGAGGGAAAAAAACTATTTAAACTCTTGCCGCAGGGCTTCAAAGGGCCGCCCTACAGCTGATCAGTGTTAAAAGAAAACAAATGAGTAGACCAGTACCCGCAAAAATAGAAAAAACAGCCCCTTAAAGCTTCAGCATAGGTTAATTAGCACAAGTTGATTAGCTCGGCTTCCCCACTCTCAACTGATTTGCTCTCAGCTGTTTTGCTCAGGGCTCTGTAGTTGCTAGCTGCAGAGTGCTGGAGATTCTTTTATTTTTTTATTTTTATTTTAATTTGATTTATATGCTGCCCTTCTCCGAAGACTCAGGGCAGCTTACAATGTGCTCAGCAATAGCCTTCATCCTTTTGTATATTTATACAAAGTCAGCTTATTGCCCCCACAACTGGGTCCTCAATTTACCTACCTTAGAAAGGATGGAAGGCTGAGTCAACCTTGAGCCTTGGCGAGATTTGAACCCTGCAGTAATTGCAGGCAGCTGGTCTTAATAACCAGCTTAATAACAGGGTGCCTTAAACCTCTGTACTACCAAGGCTCTTTTCCCCTAACTATGCTGAAAAAGCGAAACTGAAAGTAAAGAAGGGTCTTTGCTGCAACGTGGCAAAATGAGGCAGAGAAAGATTTCTTTTTCTTTTTCCTCACCAAAATAAGTAGGTGCAAAACTGCAAACAATGGGAAATTTAGGGCAAAAGAGGAGAGTTCAAGATTTTAAAACACAAAAGAAAAAAAGCTCTATTTAACTAGGGAATTGTAATAATTGAGATACTATTAATTGTATATTGTGTTGAAAGCAGGAATGGTTAAGTTGTGGTTTGGAGGCATATATGGGGGAAATTATTTGGTTTATTATTATTGGTAAATATAATTAATTGATTTGTAAGAAATTGGATTGCATGGAAATAATTGGAATATTCATGTTCATATTGATTAATATACAAAAAAGATAGTTATATAACTAATTGATTTATATTAAAATGTTGAATTTGTATTAAACAACTGTATTACATAATTAACCAATGTGAGGATGGATATAAAAATAGATGACAATGGGAAGGGGTATAATATAGTATAGAAGGGAAAAAATTGAATTTGATTAAGATTAGAGATGAGGATGAAGGGTAATATTGTTTTTTTAAAAAAATAGATGAGGAATAAATATGGCAAAAAGGAAATATAGAAATTGTAAATTTAATTGAAATGACTAAACACTGTTTAAATTTGTGAACCAGCCAAATATTCTGTTCAAAGAAAATACATTGTATGTTTGTATGTGTGTTTCTAATTATTGCTATTTATTCACATTTGTTCTCTTTTATTCTTTAAAGTTTAACAATTCATTCTTTATCTTAATATCTTTATATTTGTTTGGGGTTGGCTTTCTTCCCTTTCATCTTTTTTTTTGTACAGCAATCTTTCTCCTCAAACCTACCACCTCTCTCTTTTCTTTCCTTCTTACTTTCTCTTCCCCCCACCCTCTTCTTCTCCTCCCTCCTTCCTCTTCCTTTCTCCTTCTCCTTCTCTTTTCCTCTCTCTCTTACCCTCTCTCCTACTCTAATTTCCCTTCCCTTCCTTCATCCCTCTCTATTGCTGTATCCTTTTATGCATATGGACTACTCAGAGGGCTGAAAAAGTTATTTTTGACTGGTCCTCGCACTTTTGACCAGTCCTCGAACTTACGACTGTCCTCACATTTTACGTTTTTTGCCCTATCTTATCACCATGGTGAAGAGAATCAGTTGTGAAATGAGTGACATGGTTGTTAAGAATGCTGCACGGGCATAAATGTGAGGATGGTCATAAGTGTGAGGACCAGTCAAAAGTGCGAGGACCTGTCAGAAATGACTTTTTTCTATACACATAGCCATGGCCACCCAGTCACATGACCAGCTAGCCACACCCACCAGTCACATGACCTCCAAGCCACGCCCACAAAATGGTGGGTGTCCCGCTTTATACCAATGTTAAAATCTGGTCACCTTATTAAAGTACCAACTCTTATTCTATGTTTCTATAATGTTCACCTTCCCTTATCAGATAATCAACGAAGACTACAAAAGCTCTTTTTTTCCACAGCTGGGACTTGCCTTTTGGAATAGCCTACTCTAAAAGTGAAAAAGTATGGCCCTTTTATGACGGGTGGACTTCAACTCCCAGAATTCCTGACACAGCTGAGGAATTCTGGGAGTTGAAGTCCACCAGTCCTAAAGGGTCCTAGTTCCCTAACTCTAGCCTGCAGCAACGTTTCTCAATCTTGGGAGCTGTAAGATATGTGGACTTCAACTCGCATGGGGAATTCTGGGAGCTGAAGCCCACATGTCATAAGGTTGCCAGGTTTGAGAAACAATGGCCCACAGGAAAAGGGTGATACCTTTTTAAATGCACCCAAGACTTCTTAAATGCACCCAAGACTTTAAAAACACACTTAAATTGGAGAATGGAAACGAATTGAAGGGATGAAAGCAACGAGGGCATCAGAAGGAGCCTTTCCCCGATGCTCTCTCTGGAGGCGGCTCCTCTTGAGCAACTCCCCGAAACAAGGGCTCCTGGGAGGGATCGCCCCCTTTTCTCCCCGCTGGTTTCGCATCCATTGAACCCCAAGCCTCCTGGATCTGAAACGGCACCAGAGAAAAGGAAAAGGACGGGAAACGATCAGGAAGGGACAGCAAATCATCATCATCATCTTCCCAAGGAGAAAATGGGGATTGCAGGAGCTATTTTAGCAGCGCCCGAAGAAGCATGAGCATTTCCCAGGAAAGGAGGGAGGGAGCTTTTTACCTGGCGCTCAACAGGAAAGGGGCAGCTCCCTTCTTCGCCTGGACTCCGCTTCCCATTAGATGCGCGCAGGAAAAGATCCGCAATCGCCGCCGGCCACGTTTCTTTCCTTCCCGGCCATGCATCTGGATCCCCCTCCCGGAACGACCCCAGCCAGGAGTTTGCAGATCCCAAGCTGGCAGCTCTTATAAGCTCCTCCCCTCCCCGTCCAGCTCCTCCCATTCGCATCCTGGACATAAATTGTTTCAACTCCTACCCTCAAAAGGACGCTATAGAGCACTGCACACCAAGACAACTAGATACAAGAACAGTTTTTTTCCCAAACCCCATCACTCTGCTAAACAAATAATTCCCTCAACACTGTCAAACTATTCACATCAGGCTGCGTTACTATTGCTATTGGTCTTCTCATTGTTCCGGTTGCCCATCTCCTCCCACTTGTGACTGCATGATTGTAACTTTGCTGCTTGTAGCCGTGTGATTTATATTGATATTGATTGTTCCCTAGTATGATTTGATTGCTTATTGTACCGTATGACTGTCACTGGATGTTGTGCCTTGTGATTCTTGACGAGTGTATCTTTTTTTACAAGATAACAGTGTATCTTGCCTTTTTATGTACTCTGAGAGCATATGCACCAAAGACAAATTCCTTCTGTGGTTCCAATCACACTTGGCCAATAAAGAATTCTATTCTATTCTATTCTATAGAGAAAAGGGTGGGGGGGGAATCGCACATAAACTTTTTTCTAATATTATCCCCAATAAATGCCCAGCCAAAGGACCCCTTGATGATCCAGAAGAGAGACCCATTAACTTTATCACTCCGAAGCTGAAGAAAACCTCTGAGCTAAGAAGTGTTTAATATTTAACTATTTAAAAGGTCTGAGGCGGGAAATATTTAAAAGTATATGAATTTCAGAAGAAAAACTACTAAACTGTAAAGGTAGCCCTCGATTTACAGCCATTCATTTAGTGACCGTTCGAAGTTACAACGGCATTGAAAAAACTGACTTATGTCCGTTTTTTGTACTTACAACCGTTGCAGCATCTCCATGGTCATGTCATCAAAATTCAGACACTGGCATTCGCACAAGAATGGAAGAATGAAGACTTACCAATGGACTCAAAAATAATTTATAAAATCATGGAATGTGCAGAGTCAGATAGACTAACAAAACTGATTATTAAGGGTAAAAGAGACTCAGACTTTTTTTTTTAATTTAAAAGGTTTTTATCTTATGATCAAACAAGTATACAATATAAGCAATCATTCGAACTATCATCAAGAAGAAAAAAAAAAAGATTTTTCTAATCCATAATCCATCTCTAAATTCAATCTTCAACCCCTCCTCACCACCCACCACCCCCGACTTCCCAGAACAAAAACAGGGCATAGATTTCACCAAACATTCGCTAAAATAAACTAGCTAACTGCAAGATTTAATAGCTCCCAAGACCCCTTAACTCCCCTTTTACAATTTCATCAACCTCCCTTTTTATAGACTCAAAGTAGCATATAATCCAATAACTCTAAGAGTTTTAAAACCATTAACAAATATTAAGCATTCAAACCTTAAAAAATCTCTTAATATATCAATAAGGTATTCAATTCATTTACATAAACATTTTTCCCCCTCCTACTTTTCTCAAAATTCAGATATTTTGAAATCTTATAACAAAAAGTAAAGCTTAAATATTCAATAGTTAAATTTCTACATTTTCCCCCTCCGTTGTTCCTCCCTCCAACTTTTAAAATTTTAAAACATAAACATCAGCGTTTTAAATAAGAGACTCAGACTTTTATGGTAGTTGGAATATGTGGTATGATTGGACCCAGAAACGATAGGAGAGAGACAAAGGATAATGTTGGATTATAAGAGGGCTTCCTCAAGAAGCCCTCTCTGGATCCAGCTGTTTTAGCAAATTATCGTCCAGTTTCCAACCTTCGCTTCTTGGCGAAGGTTGTTGAGAGTGTGGTTGCGCGACAGCTCCCGCAGTACCTGGATGAAACCGTCTATCTAGATCCGTTCCAGTCCGGCTTCAGGCCCGGGTACAGCACGGAAACAGCATTGGTCGCGTTGGTTGATGATCTCTGGAGGGCTCGGGACAGAGGTTGCTCCTCTGTTCTGGTCCTATTAGATCTCTCAGCGGCTTTTGATACCATCGACCATGGTATCATGCTGCGCCGGTTTGAGGGGTTGGGAGTGGGAGGCACTGTTTTACGGTGGTTCTCCTCCTATCACTCCGACTGGTCGCAGTCTGTGTTGGCTGGAGGGCAGAGGTCGACCTCAAGGCACTTGGTTTGTGGGGTGCCACAAGGGTCGGTCCTCTCGCCTCTCCTGTTCAACATTTATGTGAAGCCGCTGGGCGAGATCATCCGTGGTTTTGGGGTGCAGTGCCATCTGTACGCTGATGACACCCAGCTATACATCTCCACCCCAGACCACCCCAACGATGCCCTTGAAGTGATGTCCCGGTGCCTGGAGGCCGTGCGGGTCTGGATGGGGAAGAACAGGCTCCGACTCAATCCCTCCAAGACTGAGTGGCTGTGGATGCCGGCGTCCCGATATAGTCAGCTGGTGCCATCGCTGACTATTGGGGGCGAGACATTGGCCCCCACGGAGAGGGCGCGTAACTTGGGTGTCCTCCTGGACGCACGGCTGTCTTTAGAAGAGCATATGACGGCCGTGGCCAGGGGGGCTTTCTATCAGGTTCGCCTGATACGCCAGTTGCGCCCCTTTCTGGATCGGGACTCCCTATGCACGGTCACTCATGCCCTCGTTACTTCCCGCCTCGACTACTGCAACGCTCTCTACATGGGGCTCCCCTTGAGGAGCACTCGGAGGCTCCAACTGGTGCAGAATGCGGCCACGCGGGTACTTATGGGGGCGACATGGCGCTCCCACGTGACACCTCTCCTGCGCGAGCTGCATTGGCTTCCGGTGGTCTTCCGAGTGCGCTTCAAGGTGCTGGTTCTCATCTTCAAAGCGCTCCATGGCTTAGGACCCGGTTATTTACGAGACCACCTTCTGCCTCCGATAACCTCCCACCGGCCAACACGCTCCCACAGAGAGGGTCTCCTCAGGGTGCCGTCTGTCAGGCAATGTCGGCTGGCAACCCCCCGGGGAAGAGCCTTCTCTGTGAGGGCACCGGCCCTCTGGAATGAGCTACCCCCAGGGATACGACTAATCCCGGACCTCCGGACCTTCCGCCGGGCCCTGAAGACTTTTTTATTTCAGCAAGCCGGACTGGGTTAAAAAATTTTAATTGGGTGTATTTTATGGGTAAGGGGTTTTAAAATTGGAGAAGCCAAAGATAATTTAATTTTGTTTTAATTGCATTTTAATATTTGTATTGTTTGTTTTAATTTTGGCTGTTCACCGCCCCGAGTCCTTCGGGAGAGGGGGCGGTATAAAAATTTAATAAATAAATAAATAAATAAATAAATAAAATAATTATAGATGATGGTATATTTATGGTAATTAATAAGTATTGGAAATGTAAATGTCTATACAAGAATCTGTAAATATTTTCTATTTTTACTCTCTGATTATTGGTGTGTATATATATAGGGTTATTTTGGTGATGTTACACCGTGATAGAAAAATTATTATACATCTGTTTTTGATTTTTCTTTTTCTTTTTCTTTTTTGAACTATAACAAAATGCTTTAATAAAATTTATTTAAAAAAAAATTCAGACACTTGGGAACCAATTCGCATTTATGACCATTGTAGTGTCCCAGGGTCACGTGATCACCTTTTGCAACCTTCCGACAAGCAATGTCAATGGGAAAACCAGATTCACTTAACAACAATGTTGGTAATTTAACAACTGGTGATTCACATAACAACTGAGGCAAGAAAGGTCACAAAATGGAGCAAAATTAACTTAACAAACGTCTCACTTAACAACAAAAATTTGGGGCTCATTTGTGGTCGTAAGTTGATAACTACCTCTACAAAACATTTCTCCTATAGTAAAACAGCTCCAAGCCTAAGAGAGCACGTTTCAAGTTTGCAGAGAGGGTTCCTGGCATATTCCCCATTTCCTCCTCAAGAATTGCACTTCCAAAGTGGTTGAATGAAGGAAAGACATCCTTCTGGACTCAGTCGTTTTTGGTTTTCCTTACCTATCCTGCTCCAGCCGCATTACCAGATGTGCCCACGCCTCCAATTGGATATATTGAAGACAAGATTGTAAGAAAAAGATTGTGTTACAGAAAAAGCAACACAAGGAAATCTCCCTCAAAGCCTTTGTACTCCACCAAAGTCCACTGGAGGGCTTTACACAGCATTTGCAACCCAGTTTACGACTCAGTCAGAAGGAATTTTCTCATCTTCCTTTACAGTAATTCCGGCCTGTTTTACACTAACATCTTGTGTGCATGCACGCAGGCAGGCTCATTGCGAATCGGTAGTAAAGGTAAGTACACAGGGAAACCTTAACATGTTTGTAAATGTCGCTTCAGCAGTATTATAGCATAACTTTCCATGATACTTCCAGTTTTTCTAACGGTGTACTACTTTTGTGTTGTCCCTTAGTGACATGCTCACTGAAGATCCTATTTCTCTTCTGGTGTAATTTTCTCCACATGGGTGTAGTAAACCCACTGGTTGATTATTTCCAACATTAGGGAAATATGGGTGGTCAACAACAAAGGTCTGGACCTCACCACTTAGGTTGGAATTATTTCCGCTCGAAATATTTCACCATTTTCCCTATACGATGTCTAAGCCAGCTTTCTGCACCCTAATGTTGTCTGAATGTCTTATCCCAAAGGTGCTTTTTTCAAAAGGCAAGTGGAATTTCTTGTTTTTCCTTGAAGACGTTTCATTTCTCATCAGGATGGAACTGAAGAAACTTCATGGATGAAAAATGAAATGTCTTCAAGGAAAAACAAAGCAAGTCCAGTTGCCTTTTGATAAATGCACCTTTGGGACAACCGCAACCTGGATGTTTGAGAATCTCCATATACATCTTTGATGTCTTAAGTTTTCAAATCCCTACCTACCTTTGGCGTTTGCATTGACAAAAGTTAATCGTGTTGTGGTTTTTTTTACCTTTTATTGATTTATGATATAACATACAAAAAAAAATACAAAAGCAAAAAGAAGGGAAAATAGAGAAAGGAAAGGGGAAGGGAAAATGTGAAAAAGGATAAAAGAAAAAGGCATTGACTTCCGACTCCCTTCAGTAATAACATCAAAGCAAACCTTTTCAGTTTTACATATCGTGTTTCCCCAAAAATAAGACCTGGTCTTATTTTATTTTCGGCTCCAAAATAAGCACCAGGTCTTACCCCCTTACCTTAGGACCACTGCAGCCACGGCTCCCATGCCCCAACACCAGTTGCGCCGCTACTTGGCATCTTCTGCGTTGTGTTGTGCCATTGCGCATGTGAGCGGCTGCACCAGCACAATGAGCTTGCAGCATTCTGCTGCTAGTGGTGGCATGACCACGATAAGTAATGTAGTGTCCCACCACATGGCGCAACGAGCCACATGGCGTCTGAACTCAAGCTGCCGCAACTGGTTGCGGTAAGTATAAAGGGGGTGTTTCCCTTTTTTCCCTCCTTTTTTCCTTCTGTGTGTTCTGCATGATGTTTTAGATTTACCTCATGCTGTTCCTGTGTTATTGATTATCTTGTTTTTACTTTTCTGGGTGATGACAAAGACTACTGTAAATTTCTAGGTTAAATATATTTATTTGTATATAAAGGACTACAAGTCTTTCTAGTCCTTTATATACAAACACTGTGTCAGTGTTTACAACTTCATCTTGACTGCTGTCATCTTGACAGCTGCTGCACAATTCGTGACAGAACATCTTGTCTGGAGAACGTTTATGGAAACAAAGTATCTTTGGCTAGTGACACATCTAGTTAATGTTTTATTGGTTTGGCCAATTGCACAGGAGCAGCAACCCCATTGTCAAACCTGGAAGCCATCTTTTGCATTGGGCCTTCAGGCCTGCCACATTTATGCTGTGGGAAATTGGGAGGGGGGATTATATGGAGTGAAGTAGATATAGTCAAAATAACATTCCTTTCCCAGAGACTCAAGGACAGTTTGCCCTGCACCTGGAGTGGTGTAACTGGGAGGCACCTCCAGTTGAGACGGTGCTTGATTGGACATGTGGGTGCTGGGCAGGGACTTGAACTTTCGTTTGGGTGAGGAAAACCTGGAAACTTTCAGATTGGGGTTTTCTCAGAGGTGCCAATATGACATTTTTAATAAAATGGAACTTTGAGGAATCTCAAGCATCGGAGTCTTCTTTCATTAGGGATGTTACTTGGAACCCTGACACCCATATTCCTTTGTTGTCCATTGATGAGCTAGACCTTGGATGTGTTGGCCCAATCAAACAATGGGTTAATTTTACCCACTGCAGTGAGTGGATGAATCATGCCGAATCAAGGAAAGTGGGGTTTAACATTTAATTTCTGTGGAAAAGTAAAGCTTGGACTTTTCTTTTTACCTTGGGCTTAGTATCAGTACCGCTTTATTAGTATTAGTAAGGCCACAGCTGGAATACTACATTCAGTTTTGGTCACCACATTACAAAAAAGATGTTCAGATTTTGGAAAAAGCGCAGAGAAGAGCAACTAAGATAATTAAAGGTCTGGAGACTAAAACATGAAAAACGATAGCAGGAACTGAATATGGCTAGTCTGGGGGAAAAAAAAGGACTAGGGGTGACATGATAGCAGTGTTTCAATATTTGAGGGACTGCCACAAACAAGAGAGGCTCAACTTATTTTCCAAAGCATCAGAAGGCAGGACAAGAAACAATGGATGGAAACTAATCATGGAGAAAGGCAACCTGGAATTAGGGAGAAACTTCCTAACAGTGAGAACAATTAACTAATGGAACAGTTGCCTTCAGAAGTTGTGGGTTGGAGGTTTTTAAGAAAAGACTGGACACCCGCTTGTCTGAAATGGCATAGGGTCTCCTACTTGAAACAGGGGGATGGAGTAGAAGATCTCCCTTCCAATTGTGTTATTCTGTTATTGGGAGATTGGCACATCTGGGGCGGGGGGGGAAGGGAGAATACTCCTATCTGCATAGAAGCTCAACCATTGTTAATCCTCCATTAAATATCCTAAGGATATTCTTGCGCATCCAGTGCAGAAGGGTAATTTTAGCCTATTTCAATGCTAACTAGGGAACCCCTTAATGTGAGTCCCTTGCAGCCACAACATCAATACATAGAAGTTCACCCTGGTGAGAAGAAAACTGAGAGGTGTGGAAGGACCAGGGATTGGATTCAGAGGAAGCTCTCTCAGTCATGAATGTATGCATCAAAGGGCTCTGGAGGACTCAAGCAGATCCCATCCCATATCTAGGGAGTCATGCTGAGTTGTTACTCTGGAGTTCTAGGTCTGGCCTGGTACCAACTAAGAGACAGAGTCCAATTGGGACACTGGGAAACTGGCTCATACTCGTAACGGCTGCAGTGTCCCGGGATCATGTGATCCTCTGTTGCGACCTTCTGACAAAGTCAATAGAGAAGCCAGATTCCCTTCAGCACCGTGTTACTAACTCAACAACCGCAGTGTGGTTCACTTAACAACTGTAGCAAGAAAGGTCATAAAAGGGGGTAAACTCACTTAGCAACTATCTCGCCAAGCAACAGAAATTTTGGGCTCGATTGCTGTGGGGGTGGTTGCTTTCTCAGTAGCTGGCAAACCACGCTGAGGAATGCAAACATCAGCACAATGATCCTTAAAGACCCTTCCTCAGGAAATGTGAGACATGAGGTTTGTCACGTACGCAGGTCACATGGATTTGCAGGAGAAAAACCATGAGCTTTGTTTAGCCAATCAACTACAAGTGACTTTGATCAATGAATCAGCATCTGCCACGAAGACTATAGAGAACAATAAAAGGGGGCTCCCAGAAGCTGTTCTGGGTGCCTTCCCATTAATCTTCCTGCCTGTGCATTTTCCTTCATCACAACAACAGATTGCGGTCCTAAATCAAGGATTACCTGTATTCAGATTTGGACAAAGGCTTGAAAAGACCTGACAGAATTTCTTTAATGCTTTTATATTTAAGTTATATCAGCAGGAAATATAGTTCTTTGATTGACAGGAGATACAGTAAGGAAGGTACCAAAGAAGCCATGGCCAAATCCTGTAGTGATAAGGATTTTTAGCAAGCCTGTTGTGGTTTCTCTATCACCTTCCCCAGATATGGGACATAGGTCTTTATTTCAGCCATTTCAAGGTACGAATCTTGATCCCCAGAATCCTGACTAAGGTCACTGGAGGCTTTTAAGAAGAGACTGGACAGCCAATTGTCTGAAAAGGTATAGACTCCTCCTCCTCAAACAGGGTTGGACTAGAAGACCTCCAAGGTCCCTCCCAATTCTATGTATGTTATTCTATGTTTATATAATGTTCACCTTCCTTATCAGATGATAGGAACTCTTTTCAAAGCTGGGACTTGCCCAGCAGAAGTGGGGAAGTATGGCCCTTTTAGGAATAGTGGACTTCAACTCCCAGAATACCTGACATAGCTGGATAACAGGGGAAAACATGTTATCCAAAAGTTAATTCCCGATTATACAAGGAAACAATTATTTTTAATAGATCAAAACCTTCTACTATGTTGGAACCCTTTTTCCATACACCAATTTTGAGAATCAACACAAACCAATTAACGACTTTTCCTACTGTGTGTCTTCTTATGTCGATTAAAGTCACTACAGGTTCTGAATTTCTTTCCACACTCCACACACTGGTACGGCTTCTCCCCTGTGTGGAGTCTCTTATGGACTGTAAGATGACTGCTGAGTCGGAAACTCTTTCCACACTCGATGCATTTAAACGGCTTCTCTCCTGTGTGGATCCTCATGTGGGAGGTAAGACTGCCACTCTCATTATAACATTCTCCACACTCCAGGCATTTATAGGGTTTCTCCCCTGAGTGAAGCCTTCTATGGTTCTTGAGTGAACTATTTTGACTAAAGCTTTTTCCACACTCGTGACATGTATATGGTTTCTCCCCAGTGTGGGTCCTCTTGTGGATACCAAGGCTACTGCTTATTCTGAAACTCATGCCACACTCCGTGCACTTATATGGTTTCTCCCCTGTGTGAATTCTTTTATGGATCGTCAGTTCTCCAGAATCACTGAAGCATTTTCCACACTCCTGGCACTGATATGGTTTCTCTCCAGTGTGGGTTCTGCTATGTACAATATAGCTTCTTTTTACATTGAAGCTCTTTCCACACCTGCGGCATTCATATGGTTTCTCCCCGGTGTGGAGCCTTTTGTGACGAGAGAAAGCACTCAAATCAGCGAAGCATTTGTCACATTCAGTGCATTTATAGGGCTTTTCACCTGTGTGGGTCCTTTTATGGAGATTAAGACTCCGTGGATTAGTGAAGCGCTTCCCACACTCGGTGCACTGATGTGGTTTCTCTCCAGTGTGGACACTTCTGTGGGACTTTAAGTGGCTGGAGTCACAGAAGCTCTTTCCACACTCCAGGCATTTGTACGGTTTCTCCCCTGTGTGGGTCTGTTTGTGGGCATGAAAGCCACCAGATCTGGCAAAGCGCTTTCCACACTGCAGGCACTGAAAGGGCTTCTCCCCTGTGTGGAGTCTGTGATGGGCAGTAAGGTTTGCAGAGCAATGGAAGCTCTTTCCACACTCCGTGCATTGAAATGGTTTTTCCCCCGTGTGGATCCTCTCGTGTGACTTAAGATGAACTTTTTGACTAAAGCTCTTTCCACAGTGCAGGCATTTATAAGGCTTCTCCCCTTTATGCATCCTATTATGTTTAGTTAGCATATTACGTCTATTGAAACTTTTTCCACACTCCAAGCATTCATAGGGTTTCTCCCCTGTGTGAATCTTCTTATGGGAAGTAAGGGTACCTGGCGCAGTGAAGCATTTTCCACACTCTGTGCATTTATATGGCTTCTCTCCAGTGTGGATCCTCTTATGTAAATTAAAATTGCCTTTTTGTGTGAAGCTCTTTCCGCACTCCGTGCAATGATACGGCTTTTCTCCTGTATGGATCCTATTATGGTAAGTGAGGTCACTTGCATAGCGGAAGCTCTTCCCACATTCCAGGCATTTACATGATTTATTCCCAGTCAGGCTTCTTTTCCTGGAATTTGGTTCCTTGTTCTGAGTAAACCTTGTTCTACCCTTCCTGCGTTGATGCAACTTCTCCTCTCTGTGGATGCTTTGATGGGAAGTAAGGGAGGTGCTGCTTCCGAAAGTCTTTCCACAGGTGATACATTGATGATGATGCTTCTCTTCGTGGACCCTCTTATGTGAATTAAGGTGATTTTTCTGCCTGAAGGTCCTTCCACAATCCAGACATTTGTGTGGATCCTCTGCTTTGTGAATTTTTTTATGTGATGCAAGGGAGCGGCTTGTACTGAAGCTTTCTGCACACTCCGTACATTTGTACATTTCCCCTCCTTCTTGTATGCTTTCATGTAAAGGAGGAGGAAGGGTCCCTCTGGAGTGTTCCCTGCTTTCATCTTGTTTCTCTCCAGCAGGGATTTCGTAACAGTCACATAATCCAGATTCATCTCGGAGTGTTTTCCCACACCTTGAACACACTTCTTTTTCTTGGCAGTCATCTCCGTCCAATAAGACATTGGGATCTGGACAAGGTAAACCAGAACAATTCTCCAGCTCAACCGTTAACTCGTTTTGCTCTGAACTTTGCTTTCCGTACATCTTTTCTACGACTTCTTTTTTGTCTTTTGGCAAAGGTGCTGCTACCTCTTGGCCAGAATCCTCCATCTCCCATCCGTCACCTGCTTGCAACAGAAAAAAAAAGAAAAAGTTAAGACAAACTTAGATGCAAAAGGGATCTAGCACCATTGCTGTATTTGAACACTTATCAATATTCTTCCAAACTCCCATTTGTTCAAAACATGATGCTATGCTTGTTATTAAGTTGATGTAAGATTTGACCTTTGGCTACTAAATGTAAATATCTTAACAGATTCTCTTACCTAAGGAGGCCATGTTCCTCTTGTTTTCTAGCATGACCTCTTGGTACAGGGCTCTTTGCTCAGAATCCAGCAGGGCCCACTCCTCCACGGAGAAAAACACAGCTACATCCTCAAGCGATATCAAATCCTGACACAAGGAGAGGAGAGAAACCACAACGTATTCCATGAACATTCCTAACAGTGAACACTTCAATGAATTACATTGAGCCTTCTTCTTAATGAAAAACCTCCACAGTTTCCAAGTAGGGCAAATGAACATGTTAGGATATTGAATGTAGTAGCTGGAACAATAAAGTCTACAATGGACCAGAACATAACTGTAATAGAGTAGCTAGACAGTGCTGACTCTATGCTATGATTGGTTGCGTAAGTATAAAGGGGGCGTTTCCCTTTTTTCCCTCCTTTTTTCCTTCTCTGTGTTCTGCATGATGTTTTAGATTTACCTCATGATGTTCCTGACTATCTTATGTTCTTCCTTTTCTCGATGATGACAAAGACTGCTGTAAATTTGTTTCTTAAATATATTTATATTGATATAAAAGTCTACAAGTCTGTGTCAGTATCTTCAGCTTCATCTGGACAGCTTCTGTAGAATTTCATGACAGAACATCTACGGACAGGCTTTACAGAAACAAAGTGTCTTTGGCTAGAGGTACAACTAGTTAATGTTTTATTGGTTTGGCCAGTAAAACATTATTCCATAGGAGCAGCAACACCATATTCCTTTGCTGACCACTGATGGGCTTGACCTTAGATATGTTGGCCGAATCTAACAGTGGATTAATTGTACACGCTGGTGAGCCGATGAATTATGCCGAATCAAGGAAAGTGGGATTTAACATTTAATTTCTGTGCAAAAGTAAAGCTTGGACTTTACTTTTCACCTTGGGCTTAGTATTACTACCGCTTTATAAAAGTTTAGTAAGGCCACGCTTGGAATACTGCATTCAGTTTTGGTCACATTCCAAAAAAGATTTTGGAAAATATGTGAAGAACAACTAAGATTATTAAAGGCCTGGAAACGAAAACATATGAAAAACTGGATATAGCTAGTCTAGAGAAAAGAAAGACTGGGAGTGACATGATAGCAGTTTTTCAATATTTGAGGGGCTGCCACAAACAAGAGGGAGTCAATATTCTCCAAAGCACCAGAAACAATGGACGGAAACTAATGAAGAATAGAAGCAACCTGGAATTAAGGAGAAACTTCCTGACACTAAGGACAATTAACAGCTGGAACAGCTTGCCTCCAGAAATTCTGGGCGCTTAATCCCTGGAGTTTTTAAAGAAGACTCTTAAAGGGTCTCCTGCTAGACTAGGGGGCTGGACTAGATGACCTCCAAGGTCCCTTCCAACTCTGTCATTCTGTTATTATGGGCTTCTTCAACAGATCAGGCTGACATTTTAAGGGAGAGGAAAATTCTCCCACCTGCATTGGAAGCTCAACGGCTGTTAATCCTCCGCTATACAGACCTGAGTTTCCAGGAGATGAAGACAAGGCCATGAAAGTGTCTAGGAGTGAAAAAAAAAGAGCAAGGGAATAATTTGCTATCAAACATCCTAACCATATTGTTGAAGGTACAGTGCAGGAGGGCGATTCTACATATCTTTATACTAACTAGGGAATCGGTTTATCTGTATACCTTGCAGCCACAGCAACAACACATAGAAGGGGACACTGGGTGAGAGGAAAACTGAAAGGTGCAGAAGGACCAGGGATTGGAGTCAGAGGAAGCTCTCTGCCCCATGAATTTATGCATTAAAGGACCACAGAGCTGGACTCTGGAGGCCTCAAGCAGATCCCCTCCCATTTCCAGTATTTATGTGCTGAGTTGTTAATTAGGTCTGGCCTGGCACCAACAAAGAGATAAAGCCCAATTCTCTCTGAGTCACACATACACTGGTAGTCCTCGAATTACAGCCATTCATTTAGTGACCAAAGTTACAACAACACTGAAAAAAAGTGACTCATGACCGCTTTTCACACAACCGTTGCAGCATCCTCATGGTCACGCAACCCAAATTCAGATGCTTGGCAACTGACTTCTATTTATGAAAGGTCACAGTGATCCTGTGATCCTCTGTTGTGTTGTCCTGTGATCCTCTGTTGCGACCTTCTGACAAGCAAAGTCAAGAGAGAAGCCAGATTCAATTAACCACCATATTGCTAAGTCAACAACGGCAGATGTTCAACATAACAACTGTGGCAAGTAAGGTCATAAATGGGGGCAAAACTCACTTCACAACTATCTCGCTTAGTATCAGATATGCTGGTCCTAAGTGTGCTTGTAAATCAAGTATACCTGTATTCCGGTTTGGAGAAAGTTGGGTTCCCTCATAAGGCTAGTTCATAATTCATAACCCTGAATTATTTCTTCAGCACGCTTTTATATTTAAGTTACTTAAGCCGGAAATACACCTGGTTGTTTGACAGGAGATACAATAAGTTTCAAAGTAGCCATGCCGACATCTTGTAGCCATAAGGATTTTTAGCAAGCCTATTGTGGTTTCTCTATCATCCTTCCCTAAACTCGGGACATATCTCCTTTCTTTCGGCCATTTCAATGTAAGAATCTTAATGATCAGAATCCTGATGTCCACCCTCCCTTATCAGATAATCAGGGAAGATGACAAAAACTCTTTTTCCCGCAGTTGGGACTTGCCCTTTGGAATAGCCTACAGCAGAAGTGGGGAAGTATGGCCCCTTTAAGGACTGCTGGACTGTTGCAGGAAATGAAATGAGACTAGGCCAAGCTCTCCAATGCAGGAAAAAGCTTATTGTGCACGGTTCAAACAGCCCAAAGGCAAACAAAAAGAACTCACAGGACTTCAACTCACATGGGACATTCTGGGAGCAGAAATCCACATACCTCAAAGTTGCCAAGGCTGAGAAACAGCGGCCCACAGGAAAAGGCCAATACCTTTTTAAATGCACCCAAGACTTTAAAAACACACTTAAATTGGAGAATGGAAACGAATTGAACGGATGAAAGCAACGAGGGCAAAGAGATTAAAGGGCATCAGAAGGCGCTTTTACCCGATTCTCCCTCCGGAGGCGGCTCCTCTTGAGCAACTCCCCGAAAGAACGGCTCCTGGGAGGGATCGCCCCCTTTTCTCCCCGCCGCTTTCGCAGCCATTGAACTCCAAGCCTCGAAGATCTAAAACGGCACCAGAGAAAAGGAAAAGGACGGGAAACGATCAGGAACAACAATAATCTCCCCAAGGAGAAAGTGGGGACTGCAGGAGGATCTTAGCAGCGCCCCAAGAAGCTGCATTGAAGGGTCTCCTGTCCGAGCATTTCCCCAGATGGGAAGGAAGGAAGGAGCTTCTTACCTGACGCTGGATAGGAAAGAGGCGGCTCTCTTCCTCGCCCGGACTCCGCTCCCCAAGAAATGCGCGCAGGAAAAGATCCGCGATTGCCGCCGGACAAACACGTGGATCCCCCTTCTCGGAATGACCCCAGCCAAGTATTTTCCTCCAGGATTACCAGGTGGGGAGAAGGAAGGAAGAAAGGAAGGAACTCTGTTCTGGTTCCAAAAGATGCGGGCAGGAAAAGATGCGCTTTCCTCGCAGCTCCGCCGGCTAAGCTTCCTTCCTTCCCGGCCGCGCAGGTGGATCCCCCCTCCCCGGAACGACCCCACCCAGGAGTTTGCAGACCCCAAGCTGGAAGCTCTTATAGCTCCTCCCTTCTCCGTCCAGCTTCTCCCATTCTCTAAAGGGCGGAGAGCGCCGCCCACTCGGGGGGGGGAATCCCCCTGCCTGCCCCTTCCCCCCATCCCCCCATGGGATGGTCAGCTGGGCAGCGAATCCATTGCTTCTTTGCCCCGGGCAGTCAGAGAAAGAGGGGCGAGAGGGAGGGGACGAAGCCCAGGTTGGGAGGAGGGAAGGGAAGAGGATGCAGAGCAGCAAAGTTAGGAAGGAATCGTCCTTTAACAAAATAACAGAGCTTGGAGGGGCCTTGGAGGTCTTCTAGTCCAACCCCGAGGGAGAGGAGAAAGTCCAGGAATGGGAGGAGGGGAGTGTGTGAACCAGCACATTTAGAAGGGAATCTCCCATTTGGAAGAAAGCTGGAGTAGGCAGGAAAAGGAGGCTGCCTGATGCACTGATTCTAACAGAACAGTCCTCAACTTACAACATATCTCCTAAAATGACTAACATTCATGATTGTGCCATAACAACAAATAATGCCTGCTTTACAACCAGTCCTTGACTTAACGACCATTCATTTAGCGGCCCTTCGAAGCTACAACGGTCCTGGAAAAAATGACTTATGTCCGTCCCTAGCGCTAAAGACGGTTGCAGAATCCCCATGGTCATGTAGGAAGTTAGCACCCACCCCTTTCCTGGAAGAGTGAAATATTTTAGGAAATATGAAAAAGGCAGAATATTATATTTCCCTGGGATAAGCATGTCTTGAAGCAGCTCCCACCTTCCTGCCCCCCACCATTTGTCAATGGGCCATTAAGGCCTGGGCCAGTCTATTCTACATAACAAAGATCTGCCTCCTTCAGGCAGAGCCATAGTAGGAATTGTAGGAATCCAACAAAGATAGGATTAGCCCTCTACACAATAGCAGCAGAAACTCACCACATGGCACCTGGGAAGATTACATCACCCAGCAAGGCTAGCTAAGACCCCAACCCCCTGGGAGTCTGACAACCAATCAGGATACTCTTTTGGGGCCCCAAGAAATGCAAAGCCAGAGAGAGCATAAAAACCCAAGGACTCCCCGTATCTGCCCCTTTTCTGTTCAGGAACTCAAGCCATGTGATCCTGTCCACCATTAAGCCATCTTTCCAAGCAGTCTCCATGTTTCCAGTGTCTTTTTCCCCACTTGGAGCAGAACCTAGAAGGAGATTTCTTCCAACAGTCATGTGATCAAAATCCAGATGCTTGACTACTGATTCATGTTTATGACGGTTGCTGTGTCTCAGGGTCATGTGAAGCTTCAGACAAGCAAAGACAAGCAAAATCAATCATCTCAGTCTGACATCTGCACCTCCATAACTCTCTGGTTTGGCTCTGCAACCCAACAAGAGAGACACAGACTTCAGAGGATAGTTAGAACTGCAGAAAAAACAATGGCTAGCAATCTGCCTTCCATTGAGGACCTGGATACTGCACGAGTCAAGAAGCGGGCTGTGAAAATATTTACAGACCCCTTGCATAAACTGTTTCAACTCCTACCCTCAAAAAGAGGCTATAGAGCACTGCACACCAGAACAACTAGACAAAAGAACAGTTTTTTCCCAAACGCCATCACTCTGCTAAACAAATAATTCCCTCAACACTGTCAAACTATTTACTAAGTCTGCATTTTATTAATCTTCTCATCGATCCCACCACCCATCTCCTTCCACTTATGACTATGTAGGAAGTTAGCATCCACCCCTTTCCTGGAAGAATGAAATATTTTGGGAAATATTAAAAAGGCAGAATATTATGTTTCCCTGTATGAGAAATGGAGAGGCATGTTTTTAAAGACAAAGCAGCTCCCACTTTCCTGCCCCCACACACTTTTGTTAATGGGCCAGAGGCAGAAACTCAATCTTTGTCAATGGACCTTCATCTGCAACACAATAGCAACAGAAACTAACACAATGGATTATGGGACCCATCTAGGACAGTAACTCACCACATGGCACCTGGGAAGATTACATCAGCCAGCAAGTCTAGCTAAGACCCCTGGGAGTCTGATAACCAATCAGGATACTCTTTCTGGGCCCCAGGAAGTTCAAAGCCAGAGACAGCATAAAACCCGGAGACTCATTGTATCTGCCCCTTTTCTGTTCAGGAACTCAAGCCATGTGATCCTGTCCACCATTAAACCATCTTTCCAAGCAGTCTCCATGTTTCCAGTGTCTTCTTTTCCCCACTTGGAGCAGAACCCAGAAGGATATTTCTTCCAACACTATATGATTGTTGCTTTGTTGCTTGTATCCTTAAGATTTATATAGATATTGTTTCCTGATTGCTTATTTGTAACCTATGACTAACATTAAGTGTTGTACCTTATGATTCTTGATGAAGGTATCTTTTCTTTTATATACACTGAGAGCACATGCACCAAGAAAAATTATTTGTATGTCCAATCACACTTGACCAATAAAAAATTCTATTCTATTCTATTCTATTCTATTCTATTCTATTCTATTCTATTCTATTCTATTCTATTCTATTCTATTCTATTCTATTCTATTCTAACCAAAGACAATGGGGAAGCCAGATTTGTTTAACAACCGTGTTAACAACTGTGGTGATTCACATGTCGTAACAACTGTGGCAAGAAATACTGTAAAATGGGAGAAAATTGACTTCTCAAATTTCTCACTTTGCCATAGAAATTTTGGGCTGAAAGGTGGTTGTGAGTCGAGGACAACCTGAAGTGTTGATGGGTCTGAGAGCAATACGACTTTGAGATGTATTAGAAAACCACCATTCAGTGCAAAATATCTTTTGCTGGAAGTTAAAACCCACCCCTCTCGTAGAAAAATGAAATATTTTAGCATATACTAAAAAGGCAGAATATTTTCCCTAAAAGAGAAGTAGAAACTCAGAGAAGCAGAAACTCATTCCTCCCACCTTTGTCAATGGTCCATTAAGATCTCAGCATCTGCAACACAAAGGACCCATATAGCAACAAAAACTCACCACATGGCACCTGAGAAGATTACATCAGCCAGCAAGGCTAGCTAAGATCCCCACCCCCTGGGAGTCTGACAACCAATCGGGACACTCTTCCTGTGCCCCAGGAAGTTCAAAGCCCAGAGAGGGCATTAAACCCAGGGACTCTCAGCATCTTGACCCCTTTTCTGTTCAGGAACTCAAGCCATCTGATTCCTGTCCGCCATTAAACCATCTTTCCAAGCAGTATCCATGTTTCCAGTGTCTTTTTCCTCACTTGGAACTGAACCCAGATGGATTTTTCTTCCAACACTTCCCTCAAAAGAGGAGAATAAAGATACAAGAGAGGACAAAACAACCGAAACTGCTTTCTTTTGATTTTATCCCAATAAATGTAGAGTCAAAAGACCCCCTTAATGCTCCATAAGAGAGTCCCATTGACCATTCCATTCTGAAGCAGAAAATGCCTCAGCTAGCAAATATTTAATATTGAACTATTTAAAAGGTCTGAGCTTGGAAAGATGTAATCCCTCCATTTAAAAGTATATAGTGTTCACAAGAAAAACTGCTAGTACACAGTACAGGTAGTCCTTGTCTTACAACAGTTCATTTAGTGACCGTTCAGACTTTCAACGGCACTGAAAAAAAGTATTACGACCCTTTTTCATACTTGATGACCGTTGCAGCATCCCCATGGTCACATGATCAAAATTCAGACACTTGGCAACTGAATCACATTTATGACCATTGTAGTGTCCAGGGGTCACGTGATCACCTCTTGTGACCTTCTGATGAGCAAAGTCTATGGGAAAAACCAGATTCGCTTAATATCCGTTACTAATTCAAAAACTGCAGTGATTCACTTAACAGCTGTAGCAAGAAAGGTCACAAAATGGAGCAATATTCATTTTACCAATCGTCTCCCTTAACAACAAATGTTTGGGCTCACTCACTCAAGGGCTACGTGTGCAAACTATTTCTCCTAGTTCAACAGCTCCAAGCCTAAGAGAGCCTGCTTCAAGTTTGCAGAGAGAGGGTTCCTGGTGTATTCCCCATTTCCTCCTCAAGAATTGCTCTTGCCATCTAGTTGAAAAAGGGAAAAGATCCTTCTGGACTCAAAGGCACTTTTGGTTTTCCTTACCTTTCCTGCTCCAGCCGTGTTACCAAATGTGCCCAGCCTCAAATTGAATACATTGAAGACAAGATTGTAAGCAAAAATTTTATTCTGCAAAAAAAGTAACACAAGGAAATCTCCCTCAAAGCCTTTGTACCCCACCAAAGTCCACTGGAGGGCTTTACACAGCATTTACCAGATAGTTTACAACTCAGAATCGGAAGGAATTTTCTCATCTCCCTTTACAGGAATTCCTGCCTGTTTTACACTAAAATCGTAGCCTTCCTACATACTGGTTTATGTAAGACAGAGCTCATCCAAGCTATTTTTAATCTGTCCTAATGAGTACAGAGAAACCTCAACTCTATTTTTCTAAAAGCATTTTAGCACTTCTTTTAGCACTTCTTTTTTTTAGAGGTGTACAAGTGCAAATATTTCCTATTCTTGCCTTTTATCTTGTCCCGTAGTACATTTGGGGTTCTGGTTTAGCAAGCTGAAGCATTTACACCTTTATTCTAAGTTTAACCTGAATCTCCATGGATCCTTCTATTTAGACCAGGGGTGGGGAACCTTGGTCTTTTTATCATTTGTGGACTTCAATTTCAAGAATTTGAGAAGTTCCCTGGGGAAACTGAACCTTCTCCACGGAATCTTAGGCCTTTTCGCAATCTTCCCTCTTTTGAGATTTTAACTTTTATTGTGAATATTCAGATGTCTCATCGTGCTTGTAATCCTTTTCTTGAAGAGCAAGGAAAGATTGACTATAATTCTTTCTCCATTTTCAATATACTGGACACTTAAAGACTTTATAGTAGGAAGGCGCTAGAAACAACAACTGACCATAATTCCATAAGTCTAGGCCAGGGGTTTCCAAACTTCACAACTTGAAGACTTGTAGACTTCAACTCCCAGAATCCCTCAGCCAGCATGGTAACCTTTCTACCAAGGAAAATCTGGGAATTGAAGTCCACAAGTCTTAAAGTTACCAAGTTTGGAGGCCCACAATCTAGGTCCTGACCAATTTTGATGTTAAGAAATTCCTTCCCTGTTTTCCAAGATGGGTTTCAGACTCATTTAACAACTGTCTTGCTTAGCAATAGGAATTTTGGGCTTTAACTGTAGTCATAAGTCAAGGGCTGCCTGTATTTTCTAAAGCTGGTTCCCTAAATTGTCCAATTTACTGACCAAAAACAGCCAATATTTGAAATGTATAAACTAAGCCTTTAACTACTGTATGTTAGGTCATTAATTTAAAAAAACCCAACCACAATCAATATTGTATCTCAGAAATCAGTTAAACACAACCAATTTTAGATGGTGCAGACACAGCACCATCTCTCCAGTTTTGACAAAACTCTCGAATTTCGTATTGGTTCAATTCATTCTCGAGTCGCTTTTTCCCAGTGATGTGCTCACTGAAGATCCTATTTCTTTGTTTTGGCGTGACTTCCTTCACATGAGTATAGTAGATCCCCTGGTTGATTCCTCCCAACATTAGGGAAATATGGGTGGTCAACAACAGATCTGGACCTCACCACTTAGGTTGGAATGTTTCCTCTTGAAATATTTCACCATCGACCCTACATGATATCTAAGCCAGCTTTCTGCACCCTAATGTTGTCTGAATGTCTTATCCCAAAGGTGCTTTTTTCAAAAGGCAACTGGACTTTTTTGTTTTTCCTCAAAGATGTTTCGCTTCTCATCACAATAGAACTGAAGAAATTTCTTGGATGAGAAGTGAAACATCTTCAAGGAAAAACAAAGAAAGTCCCTTGATAAAAGCACCTCTGGGACAACCGCAACCTGGATGTTTGAGAATCTCCATATACATCTTTGATGTGTTAAGTTTTAAAATCCCTACCTATCTTTGGCGTTCACATTGACAAAAGTTAATCATATGTTGTTGTTTTTTATGTTTATAACAATTTTATCGATTTATGATATTAACATACAAAAAAATACAAAAGCAAAAAGAAGGGAAAATAGAGAAAGGAAAGGAGAAGAGGAAATGTGGAAAAGAAGAGGATAAAAGAAAAAGGTATTGACTTCCGAATCCCCTTAACATCAAAGCAAACCTTTTCAGTTTTACATACCATGTTTCCCCGAAAATAAGACCCGGTCTTATTTTCTTTTCGGCTCCAAAATAAGCACCAGGTCTTACCCGCTTATATTGGGATCACTGCAGCCACACCTCCCATGCCCCAACACCTGTTGCGCTCCTACTTGGCATCTTCCACATTGTGTTGTGCCATTGCACATGCGAGCGGCAGCCCCAGCACGATGAGC